GTGTGCTCTTTCACAACTTAAGTTGAGTGACGACTGGCGAAGAACCTCAATCTTCACCACTTTCATCAAGATAGGTGACAAGAACCGCAAGGTCATCATTGATAGTGGAAGCTGTATTAATGCGGTGTCATCTGCTATGATTTCTAAGCTTCACTTGAAAGCCACACCGCACCCAAACCCCTACAAGGTCGCTTGGATCAACTCGACCGCCTTAGAAGTGAAAGATAGAAGTCTCATTCCTATTGAGTTTGTGGGATACAAGGAGAAGATATGGTGCGATGTTTTAACTATGGATGTTGGCCATATCATCCTCAGTCGCCCCTGGTTGTTCGATAATGACGTGCACATTTATGGGAGATCAAACACCTGCATGTTTGAGCACGAGGGCAAGAAGATTAAGCTCCTACTCACCCAACCCAAGTCTGCCAACGAAGAGGTAAAACCCACCCTCCTTAAACCCACTACAGGCCTAAATCTGTTAACCGCCAAAGACCTAGATACTGAATTAGAGTCAGGATCACCTTTATACGCCTTAGTGGCGCGGGAAGTGAGTGCCGATTTGGAGGAGTCTATTCCTGAAGAAGTAAAACCTCTCCTTGAAACCTTCGCTGACGTTTTCCTGGAAGATTTGCCCAACCAACTTCCATCACTAAGGGACATCCAACATGTTATTGACTTAGTACCCGGGGCTTCTTTGCCTAACCTACCCCATTACCACATGAACCCTACTGAGCATGTTGAGCTCAAGAAACAAGTGGATGAGTTGTTGCAACGTGATTTTAGTAAGGAGTGCCTTAGTCCGTGTGTTGTTCCCGCCATTCTAACCCCCAACAAGGATGGGTCGTGGAAAATGTGCGTTGATAGTCGCGCTATAAACAAAATCACGGTCAAGTATCATTTCCCCATCCCGCGTTTAGATGATATGTTAGACATGATGATCGGAGTCATCCTATTTTCTAAGATCGATCTTAAAAGTGACTACCACCAGATTAGAATTCGCCTGGGAGACGAATGGAAAACCGCTTTTAAAACCAAGGATGTATTGTATGAATGGACGGTGATGCCTTTTGGTCTGAGTAATACACCCAGTACCTTTATGAGAGTGATAACTCAGGTCCTCGGACCATTCCTAGAAAAATTTGTAGTGGTCTACTTTGATGATATCCTAATCTATAGTAACTCGGTGGATCAACATTTGAATCACCTAAAACAAGTTTGTGAGATTTTGAGGAAGGAACAGTTGTATGATAATCCTAAGAAATGCATGTTCCTCACTGATCATGTAACCTTTCTTGGATTTATCATTTCCTCCCAAGGTATATCCGCTGACCCTGAAAAATTGCGAGCAATCAATGAGTGACATGAACCTAAGAACATCAGAGACGGTAGAAGTTTTCACGGATTGGCCATATTTTATCGAAGATTCATCAAGAATTTTAGCACTATAGTGGGTCCGATAACTAACTGTTTGAAGAAAGGAGAGTTTCATTGGACGACATCTGCCTCTAAAGCCTTTGAGGAGATAACAAGGAAAATGATTGAAGCACCAGTCATGCGTCTGCCCGATTTTTTCAAAGTCTTAACTTGTGACGCCTCTGGTATCGTTATCAGTGGAGTCTTATCTCAAGAGGGACATCCCATTGTCTACTTTAGCAAAAAGTTGAACAATATTAGGCAACGATATTCTACCTACGATAAGGAATTTTATGCTATTATCTAGTCCCATAGGTCAATGTTTAAAATTGCGCAATTGGGTATTGATGAGTTTTTTGTTCATGAGGCGAGGTATAAAGCCTTAAGGCGTTTTGAGGTGTAAGCCTCAAAATCAAAAAAATAGCGTAAAGTGATAATAAATGTCTAAAGTGATTTTTTATGTAATACCTAAATAATATGTTAAATGATGACATTACACAAGATCTAAAGTGACAAGAGATAAATTGTGGGAAATAGAATTAAAATCCGAATATTATAAAAGCAAAATAATATTAAATATAGAAATTGCATAAAAGTATCATATAACATCAAGTTCAACTCCAAATTTTCTTTTTACTCAATTATGTACTCATTTTCTTTTAATTCTTAATAAAAGCTGGAATAGTTAGCAAAAACTTAGGAACTACACTGTCACACTGAGTTGGTCTTTATCCAAGTTATTGCATAACAAATTGGTCTATCACCCGCCTCATTCGATAGATTTGAATGCCTCCTAATATGCTTCTTTTTATTTTATTTCAATCATATTCATCTTTTAGAAATATTTTCATCAACATAAATATGAGATTAATGTTCCAAAATTTTTAGGGTAGGTTGTGTGCAGCTTTCAAGTGATTGTCAGTGACGACTATGACGATGTTGGCTACAGGATGGAGGTAGAGGCAATTACGAGGAAGTTGTTGCGCTTGTATGTGCATGAAGACGTGATTTATGTTAGTTTTAACTTTTAACAAAAAAAGTATAACAATAGGATGAGGCATAAGCCTCACGCTAGCGAGGCGAGGCGTGCCTTTAGGCGGGCCTCAGCTAAGCTTGAGGTGCAAGCCTCATAAAAAAGCTAGAGGCGTAAGCCTCGAGGCATTTTTCACTAGAATTGCGTTGAGGCGGGCCTCAAGGCGAGCCTCTTATTGCGCAATTTTAAATAATGCCTTAGGTATTGGAGACACCACCTGCTTCCCAAAGACTTTGTTATTTTCTCTGACCACGAAGCCTTGCGATACATAAACTCACAAAAGAAATTGAACGCACGATATGGTCCTTGGGTCTAATTCCTTCAAGAGTATTCGTACACGATCCGACACAAAGCAGGATCTGAAAATAAAGCAGCCAACGCCTTAAGCCGAAGAATAATGATCACTAGGGAAATGAGGACCAAAGTAATTGGGTTTGAACAAATGAAAAAAAGTTATACGGAATGCCAAGACTTCAAAGACACGTATGCATTATTGGTCAATGGAGGTGAACACATCATTGATGATTTCCTTTTAGAAGGTGGATATCTCTTTAAGTTCTACAAACTCTGAATCCCAAACACTTCACTTAGGGAATTCCCCGTGCAGGAACTACACGCGGGAGGTTTAGCAGGACATTTTGGACAAACCAAAAACATTGTCACTGTTGAGCAACAATTTTTCTGGCATAGTCTTAAGCGCGATGTCAGTAGGTTAGTAAAGAGATGTCACACTTGTTAGTTAGCAAAACAATGCAAGCAAAACACTGGGCTTTACACACCCCTTCCGGTACCCAACTGCCGCCCATGGCAAGATGTTAGCATGGACTTTGTTTTAGGGCTACCCAAAACAGTGAGAAAGCATGACTATGTGTGTGTGGTAGTAGAACGATTCTCTAAAATGCTAAATCATACACATTAACACATACATACACACATGCATGTATAATCCTATTATCAACTAAAATCGGAATAAACAAGGCCTTGTTCATATTTGACTCGATAAATATATGATCTTATATGCATATCATGATCCCATGCATGCCAAATTGTATTGGATAGTACTGAGTTAGGATAAAGAAACTTCGCATTATGATACTTCATGTACATTCTTCTTTACAAAATTGGTGGATACTGCAACATCTATATCTCAAGTGTATGTGGTGTGAAACCTGCCCGGAAAACCTCCGCGAAACCTGCAACCGAAGACCCTGTTTCCAAAGGATTAAGCAATGGAACAGTAACGATAGCTTAATTTCATTAAGTGGTAAAAACTACTGTGCCTCCTCTATCGACAAGGCATATAACAGGAGAAAATTAACAATGGCAATATCGAAAATAACTAAGTATTAAGAAAAGCTAATGATGAAGTCGTTATGAGCAGAGGTAGAGAATAGGAATTCCTTCAGAGTAGTGGCCACGGTGGCAAGCGTCCAGACAGCGGAAGTGGCCACGGTGGCAAGCCGTTGCCTCAGCGATCCGGTGTTCCCCCGATGGCTGCTTATTAACTGGAACCTAGAACCACATCAGTATGCTTGGAATGTCCTTAGACATTTGGTTTTCATTATTAATGGATGCTCTAGTCTAGGTTATATTTTTAGTTTATCTGACCTTCTACATGGCTTAGGTGAAATTATTGCCTAATATTTGCTATCCTAGCTCTAATATTGTGACATCCATCTTAGCTCTAATATTGTGACACCCATCTCTCGCATTCTCACATCTTGTGCATCTTATTTGGCATTCTATCTGTCTGTATTTTTCTTTTGCAATTCTGACTTTTGCCCCATGATATATATATTGTTATCATTATCTCTCATCTCTTTCCAAATAGAATATTTGTGTTGTATGCATGTACACAATCTTTTGTGATGAAATATGAACGCAGATCCAAAGCATATGCAGGTGTAAGCATGGACACGTTTGGGTCTGTGGGGTACAAATTCTATAATGATATTTGATTTTTTCAATACTTGTCAAGTCACAGTGTTTATACATTACTGTTCTTAAGACGTTTGCACTTGTGGTTCATATGCTTAGTTTTTTTGGGTGGCAACTGACAATGGCTCCCAGCAGTAGCTGCCCAATCTTTTCAAGTATTAAGTTGCACAGGTTCTTTTAGCCCCTGCCACCTTTATTTCTTGGTGAAGTAAATTACACCATTAGTTTGATGCTGGTAAGGTACTGAACTGAAGAGGACTTATCAACTTCTTTTTTGCTTAGTAATGTATAAAATTAAGGCTTAATGTTTCCAAGTATGCCTTTGTGGAAAAATACACAATTTTTACCAGTACAACAGAAATGAAAATATATGGTTTTGTAACCTTTGAAGGACATTCTACTTTTGGATGGATTGTCATCCCAATAGGATTTATCCCAATTTGGTGATGCTATATTTATCAATATATGTGAACTATGTTTGAGAGAGAATATTTTCACCTTTTGTTGAGAGCCTTGCACTAGCAATGCTTCTGTTATTTGGTACTTGAATTGTTTAGGTTTGCAGATGCATGTCACTTGTTACTATTGACTTTGTATTTTCCATTATTTTGTTTAGGTGGTCCAAACCCTGCTGGACAATCAGGTGGAATTAGTTTCCCTACTTCAACACAGGCAAATCCATTTGGTCAAACTAGTCCATTTGGCCAGACAAGTCCATTTGGTCAGACAAGTCCATTTGGTCAAACTAGTACTTTTGGTCAAACGAGTGCATTTGGGCAGCCTGCTGCAAATCCTTTCTCATCCACAACTTCTTCAAATCCTTTTGCTCCTAAAACTCCAGCTTTTGGTTCTACTGGTTTTGGATCATCATCAGCTTCACTTTTTAGCTCACCATTCTCTTCATCTTCAACAAGCCCTTTTGGTTCAACTTCTTCCACCCCTTCACTGTTTGGTGCACCTAGTGCCTCTGGATTTGGTTCTAGTACTTCATCCTCAATTTTTGGCGGTGGAAGTGCGCCGGCATTTGGCTCTTCACCTTCTATTTTTGGCTCCTCAATGGCGGGATCCGCTTCTTCCTTTGGATCTGGTCTAACTTTTGGCAACACTCAGTCATCTGGGCTGTTTTCTTCTACTCCTTCCATTGGGCAAACACCTTCGCCCTTTGGGCAGTCTACTGGTTTCCAACAGAGCATGCCAGCTTTTGGTTCTAGTCTATTCAGCGCACAACCAACTGGCTTTGGTGGAAGCCCATTCAGCAGTTCAACACCTTCATTGAGCAATCCTGTAGGATTTGGTCAAGCGACTGTAAGTGGCGTTTTCCATTTTTCCCATAATTTCTTCAACCTCGATGTACCTTGCTTTGTCTTTTTAATTTTGTTTATGTTCTTATTATTTTTTCTATATACCTTGCAGCCATCTCTTTCCACTCCTTTTCAACAGTCTGCTCCTGCACAAACGTCAAGTACCTTTTCTTTTGGTAATTTCGGTCAGACGCAAACAGGTAAACCTGATCATTAATGCAGTTTTTTTCCCTTTGTGAACCTACTTTCAAATGATTAAGTTCCATTTTTAGTAGCTTAGGTCATCTGCAAACTGACAAATCGCCTCATAAATGCAGTTCCCTTTTTCTCTGCTTATGCTTACATTGTGCATGTGGTGAGTGTCTGTCTTATTTCACATTTATCATTTCCATTTCAGCTCCTTCTGGAGGGTTTGGCAGCTTCCCGAGCACCTTTAATCAGGGAACTTTTGGACAGAGGTATGCTTCTGCTCTATTTTTTGCATATTTGTAACATCAAATTTGATAATTTTACGTAGTAATTGTATTATTTAGTGTTGCCTAATGCATTTTTCTACTATGAAATACATTGAAGGCCCCTTTTAGTTGTAAATAATCATTGTTCTGTTCAAAAAAGAATTGATGGTACATGAGGAATTTCTTTGTAGCTCTGTGCAACCCTCCACTTTTGAGGCCCCCTTTTACTTGGAAATAATTGTTGTCGAGTTCAAAAAAGATTACTTTTGAATTTTGAAGATTGCAGGATTCTTGTTATATTTAGCGAAGACAAAATATGGTGCCTATGTTTAATAGAACAAAAAGCTTCTCTCTGTGTGTTAAACTAGAATGGTGCTTATGAATTTTTTGCAGTAGCCAAATGGATTATATGCACCAAGGTCATTCTGCATAATGAGGTTTCTGGTATTCAAGTACATTGTATGACTGGTTGCTCATGTAGTTATTTTTCCTTTGCCGAAAATGCTGCATTTTATCATGTTTAAGAGGACATACTTCTTCTAGCCAGAAAAATATCAAAATTACATTATCTTTTGGTCACCTTTTTTGTAGTTTGGAGCTAAATACAATTTCACCACATATAGGAACGCAAATGTTTTGTTTGTATTTGCATACAACAACAACATTAAGCCTTTATCCCACTACATGCAGTCGGCTATATGAATTATTTTTTTCAATTTTGCCCTGTTAATAATCACATTCTTATTTAAATCTAAAAAAGAAATATAATTTCTAATATTTGCATTTGCATGCACTGATGTAATTTACTTGTTGTTTATTGTTGAACTTTTCCGGTCTAATATTTACTCTCAAATCATCCTATTATTGTCCTTTCTTGTTATCCTCAACTTTTTTGTACGTTTCTGTCTGTGTTATTGGACAAATTTCTTTGCAATGTCTGTAGAGAATATCCCAATGACTATCTCATCATTTATTTTGGACAAGTCTCTTTCAAAGATAAAGATTTTTTTTAAGGAACGAGTCTATCAAATATGAATATTTCTCTGGGAAAAGTTAATATGGCACGCATTGGAGCATTTCCAATGAGTATTTCTACAGGGAATGTCTCGGTAAGAATTTTTTTCATTTTATTGTCTGACTATGTTGTAATTTCTTATTTGCCTTCTGTAGCAATCCTGCCATTCAAGCTAACATTGTTATGCAACCCACTTCCATCACAAATCCTTTTGGAACGCTCCCTGTGATGCCTCAGATGTCGATTGGTCGTGTGGGATCTTCTGCTCCATCAGTTCAATATGGAATTTCTAGCATGCCTGTAAGTTACAGTTATTTGATGGCTACTGGTTATGCTCCCGCATCAAGCATTTTTTTCTTGTACTAATTTTGCCAGATTAAAATAGTGATCGATCTTGCTTTGCTTTAAGAAATGGCTTTATATTATTGTGCTAAAAATGGCATTTAAATGAACATACTATTTTATTTCGTTATTGCAGATTTCTGACAAACCAGCTCCAGTAAGGATATCATCTTTAGTGGCTCCTAGACACATATCACAGAGAAGAATCCGTTTGCCAGCAAGGAGATACCATCCTAAAAGTGATAGTGAAAGGGTCAGCTCATTTTTAATCTGCAAACTGGAATCTTTTACTTGATTTTAATTTACTGTTTATTTGATTATTTTATTTCGATTACTCATTTCATAAATGTGATTTGCCTTGGAAGAAGCATGAGCTAATGAAATTTGTCGCTTTACAGGTACCGTTCTTCACTGATGATGAACTGGCTCCAGGAACTCCGAAGGCAGATGCACTATTTATCCCAAGGGAGAATCCAAGGGCACTGATTATTCGTCCAAATGAACAATGGCCATCTACAAATGGCGCTAACAAACAATCAGTGCTGAAAAACAATTTTGGTTCCGCTAGTGTCAATGGTAATGTATGAAATTATGATTGTCTTTCTTTCATTCCTTTTTTGTTGTTTATGCTTTCCAGTTTGTGCATGGTACAAATCTATTAGCTTAGTGATGCTTATAAGGAATTTTGATCTAAACAAGCTTACTGCCAAATCCAGTACTTATTTCTTTAATATGTGAAGCTGAAAATTTTATGATTATTCATGTTTTTCAAAGATTCAGATAGCTACTTACATATGGGCTTCTCTTATTTACTTAATGATTAAGGATAATGTTTGAGTTTAAGGTGTCCTTTATTTTAATCAAGTGTATATACTGGCTTTCTTGGACATTTGCAGTATTGATTGTATGTAGCATAACAGATGGAACTTTTATAAGATGCTTGCCAAGCGATTGATTATTAAGTATTTAATTGAAAAAAATTATCTTGTCAACATTTAATAACTAAGGGAAAAAATACTGCTCCAGTGAGCATTGGCAGAGTCTTTCAACTTAAGCAATTAAATGAAGACTGCAGATCCTTATTACACATTTAGGTTATAGAATGTTTGATATGCAAGAAAACAGGTTGGAAATTTTTCTGTATTTGAAGGCATATTTGGAGGTTCAATCTTACTTTTAAGCTTTAGCCGGTGATGCTCTGTTTGATTTTAGGGTGCTGCAGGTGATAAATGCATAAACATATGTAGATTATTAAAAAACCATAGAATGGAAACAGAATTCTCTTCGTAAGAGTTAACTTCTGGCTGCAAATCTCATAAAAAAACAGGCAAAGTGGTGCTGTCAAGATTGTTTCATTTTTTCCTGTTTTTTATCTTCTTTTCCTCCATGCTTAATCTCTCTCTCTCTCTGTGCATGTATGCGAATGCATGCATTAGAGAAAGTTAAGCATTATGAGCGCACAAATATGTATCTATTTATGTAGGGTTTAGGTATAAATTGTCTTACTCTGATACTTTCTGTGATTTTACTGATATTTAATGCTATTGTCCAGGTAAACTTTCTACAGTGCCATCGGCTCCCATTCTGGGTGAATCCCATGCAGCTGATCTTGATGGTAAGTTATGTTTTTTTTTTTTTTTACATAAATTTTGTCCATCTGGGGGCTCTATTCAATGATTATGCTTTTTTACATTAGCTATATGGAAGAATATATGGTATCAAGGATTCAATAGACCTATTGGATATGTAGTCAGCACGGTTGGCGAACCAAGAGCTTTAGTGAGAGCTTGTTAAATTTGTGCTGTTTCTTAACCCTTAGCTGCTTGGAAATTTCTGGCTTGACGTGGGACAACTATAAGGGGATTTCTGGCTACAAGCAGGATTTAGTAAATCTTGCAAATAAATGTTTATTAAATCCTAAAAGCCTTCAGTCAAAATTATTTTTCATGGTAGATGTTATATTTGATTCAATTTTAGTAAAACATTTTTTGTATATACTTCAAAGATTTAGAATTTAAATGAATGTAAAGTAGAATCACGATAAATAGAATTTATGTACATCTCTGTAAGCCCATTTCTCTCATACTTTACTAAATTCAGAATTTAACCTAAAACAAGATTTAGGCCTCGTTTGACGCGGCTTATTTTTGCCATTTTTATTTCGAAATGGTAAAGATGTTTTTGAGTTGTTGTTTGATGCAAAACTGCTTTTCATGGAACTGTATTTTTGTACTGTTTTCAGAAGCTTTTTATATTGACTTTTTCGTTATAAAATTCCATTCTCTCAATCAAAGTTTTGAAAATTACATTTTTCTAAAAAGGCACCGGTAACCAAACGAAGCCTAAAGAATATAATATAATTTTATGTAGCTAAAAAAATTGTTTAGCTATATTTAGCATAAAATCTTATACCTAAATTTACCCCCCAACCAAAAAATCCCTGAACTACTATTCTTTTCAATCTATACCACTGATGACTTGGTTGCATTTATTTACCTTTACCTGAGCTTATCACATGCTAAACATGTTTACCATTTGTAACATTGTAAAGATCCTCCATCTATTTTCCTTGTTTATAATTGTCGCAGCCATTATTGCAGGAGTCCCAGCTGAGAATGGCCATGCAGAACAAACTCCATCTAAACCCCCTCAACATCCAAATGGCCTTAAAGACAACCACACTGAGAGGGTCAAAGAACCCCACTTCTCAATCTCCAGCCGCAGAGCCAGCGAGGCTGCCATTTCTTATGAACATGGCGCCGACATCGAAGCACTCATGCCAAAACTCTCTCTTGACAACTACTATTCTGAACCAAGCATTCCTGAACTGGCAGCCAAGGAGCGAGCTGAGCCCGGATTCTGTCGCCGAGTAAAAGATTTTGTCGTCGGTCGCAAAGCCTACGGAAGCATAAAATTCTTGGGCGAAACCGATGTGCGAAGACTCGACCTCGAGTCCATCATTCAGTTCAACCATCGTGAGGTGGTCGTCTACAGTGATGAGAGCACTAAGCCACCTGTAGGTCAGGGACTCAACAAACCAGCTGAAGTGACCCTTCTGAACGTCAAATGCTTGAACAAGAAAACTGGACAGAAATATATTGAAGGGCCAAAGGTTGAGAAATATAGTGAGATGTTGAAGAAGAAGAGTCTGGAACAGGGAGCTGAGTTTGTAGCATTTGATGCAGTGAAGGAGGAATGGAAGTTCAGAGTGAAACATTTCAGCAGATATGAGTTTCTAGTTGAGGAAGATGATGATTTTACCTCTTAATTATCACCATTAAAAAGGGCTTTAGATATTGTTTAAAGTGTTTGGGGCTTTCTGAAAAGTTGTAGTAAACGAATGTTTTGGAATTTATAGTTTTGTTTTATTTTGGTTGGTTGGTTGGTTAGTTTCTTTGTGGATATTTTGATGGATATGGATGGCTGTTTAGGCGTATTGTACAATTTGTGTTTCTATTAAATCTTTTATTTTGCTTGAACTACTCCATTTTTTTATTGAACATTTGAAGTTTTTTTTTTTTTAAATTTACAAAGTTCTAGACTTTTAATTTATCATTTTATGTGATCTTGAATATTAAGATCTCATCAATCAACATTGATTGCTGTTTACAAAATATAAATATAAGGATTGAATTTTATCAATTTTTATACTGATTTAGGCCTCGTTTGGGAAGACTTTTTTATTGCTTCTTAAAATAACATTTTAGTATAAAAATTAAAATATTTGTACTAAAAATTTATTTTAAGAAGCAATAAAAAAGCAATCCCAAATTTGAAACTAGTTTCTTTTTGAATATCAAAGCCTTTTTTTACTAGAAAGTTGTCCCAAATGAAGTCTTAAATATTCATGTGAAATTTTATTGGTTAAATGATTGATCTTAGTGCTTTTAAAAAATTAATTTTAATGGTGTATTTCATCAATTAAAATTATTTAATATATGTTAAATATTATTAATACTTGTTGTACTTAATTTTAAGAAATTTGAATATATATTTATATATTGAGATTGCAATTATATTCTCCTAATTACATGGAAAATAATAATACACAAGGGCTTGGAGTTTTCATGATATATTTTTTAGAAAGTATAAACGATTTTCAAGACATCTAATTAATTTTTGCTTAATTTATTTAATTATTAATTTTCTTTTAAGTAGATTTTTTTAAATATTAAATGTTTTTAAATTATTAGATGATAAAAATTCTATAAAAATATTTCTTTTCTTTTGAATATATCATTTTATATAGTCATCAAATTGAAAATCACCATTAATTATCATCTTTAATATAAAAATTAATTCTGCCAAATCTATGTTTTAATAATAATGCATAATTAATTAATTTAATGATATTTCACAGCCAGCTAACAAAAAATGCTTCGCATTAGCAGGTTGGAGAAGGGCAGTTTATACTTTATATAGATTGGGCTCGGCTGCTGAAAAATTTAGTGAAAGAATATGAGAAAAACAAATCAAAATGATTAATTAACAATTGTACATACATAATAAAACAAGTTTTTTGAATTTCATTATATATATGAAAATTCCAAAGTGATAGAAATAGAAAGTTTAACAACTTGGGCTTCGTTTGGGACGGCTTTCTTACTGCTTCTTAAAACAGCTTTATAATACAATTTTTTAATTTTTATACTAAAAAGCTATTTTAAGAAGTAATAAGAAAGCCGTCTCAAACAAAGCCTTAGCATTGTCCGATAATCCACTGCATAGAGAAAAGAAAATCATAAGAGATTGGAGATTGTAATCAGACAACGATGGTTAAAAGACAATAGTCAGAAGACGATATTTGTTAATTGGACTTAAGGACCATCGGGTGATGGATGGTTAGTTGAGGACCATTGAGCGACGGTACTTAAAAGGACCATCAGACGATCATGATCATAGGACCAAAGCTTTTATCTTTTTCATTACTACTAATATGAAATGATATATATTGTGATTTTGATATATATCTTTTTCACCACTAAGCTCATGCTTTAGCCTTTTAGGATAGTGATGCATGAACTACTCTTGCTTCCTTGTAGTTGAACTTTTATCATCTCCTTCATAGCTACACTTGCATGGCCATCTCCTCTTTTTTCATATTGATAAGACCTTTTTCAATTAATTATAATATCTCCTCATAGTTATAGTCTTAATCATAAACAGCAAGCAAGATTAATACCTAAAATATCTGCTTTGATGTTCCATCCCCTATCCCCACCAGAAATAATGGGATTCTATAGAGAATTCCAAGGAGAGTTGCTTACATATAGAGAGTAAAATAATGTGGAAAGTGTTTCTAACATCTTAGTATGTGCAACTAACAATAGCATGAGTAGCCTAAGTAAAGATATGATAAAAAATGATTGAGGTTTTGTTTGAGATTGTTTTTTTATTACTTTATAAAAATGTTGTAGTGAAAGTAACTTTCTAAAGTAGTTGTAAAAAGCAGCTTCCTGACACAATTTTTTTTGAAATCAGTGAAAAAGCAATGACCAATTAAAAGTTACAGTTTCGATCTAAAAAGTAAGTAAAAAAAACTGTCCCAAAAGAAGTCTGAGGCTTCGTTTGAAGTAGCTTTTTTACTGCTTCTTAAATCAGCTTTAAAGTACAAAAATTAAAGATTTTGCACTAGAAAGATGTTTTATGAAGTAGTAAGAAAGCCGTCCCAAACGAAGTCTGAATCTCATGCTTTGTTGACTTGGCATTACAAAGTAGTTCCTGAGATAACATGGAATACTTTGATGATCCACACAACAAGGTCAGCCAAACCCAAGAAGTGCAAATATCAAATGGGACTTTATTGGAACATCACAGGGATCACACCATCTAAAAGAGAACAAGAAGAGGTGTTGGCAGAGACATTCAGGCAATATGAGGCAACTAGCAATTAGTTTGATCAATTTGACATATTTGCCAATCTGTGTTCACTCCAATGTCCGAAAAGATCATATTAATCCTAAACCCTAAACTTACATTGCATGTATTAGTGTTGTGGAATTCACAGTTGACGAATTATTACAAAATAGAACTGACAAAGGTGAAATTCGAGACACTGTGAAAGGCTTAGTTCCATCCCTTTTACCTAAGATGAGTTGTTTAGATGGCAACAATGGAAGCAAAAGTCCAAAGGTCTTAAACCTATCACTTCTAAAAGAGCAATCTATATCCATTAAATATATTGTCGGTCTACATTAAAACCTCTGCTAGGAACAAATGCTCCTTCCATTCATAAATATGTTGAGTAGAAAAAAAATAAGCCACCTAATATCACAAAGTTTCCATTTACAAAACTCGTAAGAAACTTCTCCATTTTAATCATCCATTCTTAACTCTAACATTATATCTCCATTTATATCCCTATTCTTCTATAAGATAAATTCAAAATACTTAAATCTATCATACAAATATATTACCTTAACTTCTAATAATATTGAATGATAAATGCTAATATCATACCTACTAAATTATATAACATATACTCAATATTCGTTTCGCCAATTCTAAGGCCTCTATCTTCTAAACATTTACTCTGTTTTTCTAATGATCAACTTATTTCAAAGGATGTCTCACAGAAATGAATGCAAATGCATACCAAAAATTAAATTTACATATATGCTTCCTACTATTGCACAACACAAAGAACAAGTGGTAGATCAAACATCAAAAAGCAATAAATTGTCCATAAGTATTTAGAAAAAAATAAATTTGGCATGCACATAAAATTTCATTCAAATTAAATGGATCCTTGCAAACAACATTTGATACATGTTATAAAATTGTTTGATTAGTAACATTAGTTTAAATTATGAACATTCTTTCTTGAAGACCAAACAGTTAAAACACTAAAATAATCTTTCAAGCACACTTAGGCCTCGTTTGTTTCGGCATTTTTTTACCTTTTCTAAATAGAAAAGGCAAAATTATTTTTGGTTCGCTGTTTGGATGGGAAGCTTCTATAGAAATGCTTTTTAGGGAACTTCATTTTTCTACTATTTTGAGAAGCTTTTTTATATTTGCTTCTCCGTTAGAAAACTGTATTCCCTTAATCAATATTTCTAAAACTATCTTTTACAAAATGAGAGGAAGAACCAAATGAAGCCTTAGTTTTATTAGTGGACAATAAGATATAAACATTATTGATTTTGATTTTGAGAGCTCAAGGAAAAAAATTATGATGAAAAAGTAAACTGATGAACAGATTATAGATGATGCATGTGCATGAATATGTACATGGAACAACAAGCATGTGCATACATGCAAATAGGTGCCTGCGCAAGTACATACCAAATACCAATGTATCATGGATGAATGTGTAAGTGGAACGCCATTTTAATGCATTAAACATCTTTAGGGTTGTGGGAGGAATGTGAATTAAACAGCTCAACAAATGATAAGAAGCATTACCATATTTGTCAATACATGAGTTTTCCAAACAGCACTCGTTTATTATCATAGCATAGCATAGCATAACATTCTAAAGTTGAAAACACTACATAGATATATGCATAATAAACGAAGATAAAGCGGCGAGATTGAATATCAATAATCACCTAGAAACATATAATGAGCTCATCATCATCATCATCTATCCCCTGGCCTTAAGCTCGGCAAGACGCCTGGAGAGATCATCCTCATCAACCTTCTCTTTCTCTTTAGAAGTGGCAATGGCATGAGCAGCAGGTTGGGGCAGGCCAACAGAGACCTCAAGTCCATAATCATCTGCAACCTGCTGCATGAGGCTATTGACCTCCGTCTCAGGAGTGGAGAGGCTGGTGGATCCAGCCATGGCGCCCTCCATGAACTCAGCCTGGACCTCCATGTTGACGAACTGGCGCTCGAACTGGTCCATCGTTTCGGACATCTTCTGAAGGTTTCCTGAGGCCAAAGCAGAGTCAAGGGACTTGACGATCGAGCCCATGGATTTTCCGATGACCTGCATCTTTGCCTGGGTATCCAGGCGAGATACGACCGCATCGAGGCGGGAGGCGAGGCGGAGATAGTTCATCTGCTCACTACGCTTGCGGATGGAATTCTCGGCGTAGATTCGGGCGCCGTCCATGTTACCCTTCTCGATGGCCTTCTTGACCTTGAGCTTCTCCGCCTTCTCCTCCTTCTCGCACTTTCGCGCCTGCCGCTGAAGGCTCTTCGAAGTGAATTTCAGCTCCATTATCTGGTTCATCAGCTTCTCCGTATTCCCCATCCTCGCTTTCAGTATCTGCAATTAGGGTTTGGTTTTGGATGTAAAAGAAATAGCACCGATTGCAGTGATAAACTCCACAGTCCAGTGAGAGAGTGAGAGAGAGTTAGGGCTTCAGCCTTCAGGGAGGGAAGAGAGAGAAAAGGGGAAGGGGATAGGGCTCAGTTAATAGAGCAGAGTTATTTATTATTTATTATTTATTTGTAATTTTTAGAAATTTAATCCTTCATACGGATAAATGTTATGTTTTTTTTTTTTAATAATTTTTTTTTTAAATTTCTATTATATTTATAAAAAATAGAATTAAATATTTTCTTATCATTAAATTAGTGTTTGAATTAGCTTATGGCTTAATTGCATTTGAATATCATTAATTAGTCAAAATAAGATGATTAGAGTGTTTAATTAATTAATGCCATAGCTTAATTAGTTGAGTGATGGCCTCATAAATTAGCTTATTACTTATCTATCTTCTATTTAATTTCTAATATTTTATATTTTTTTCTTTTTTTTCAATGAATTTAAAGAATTTCTCCTCATTTTTAAATTAACAAAATTGATTGTATCTTATCATGGAGCCACTTAATCACTTATAGCAAACTCGTGAGCCATATCGAGTTCGGCTTGATAAGTGGCTCGTAAGCTGAACTCGATGAGCCAATGAGTCAAATTTGAGCGAATCCTGAATAATTGTGGTCTAGTACATAATTTTTTGAAAGATCGAAAAAAAAAATGTCAAATAAAAATTGTCATTGCATTATAAAAATCAAAGCAATCTGACAGCAGCTATCAATAAAGCAAGTTGTGAAATTATTATACATAAATCTGCTTTTTAAAGTTGATGTACAAAAATCATTACATTTCGTTTACTGTGATACCTTTATAACTATCGAGCTATTGTGCTACAACTGTATGCGAACAAATTATCGTGATACGTTTATATATCTTGAGATCTACAAATGATTTAGTAAGGTTCTTCAAATGCCAAAAGAGTGAAAAAGAATAAAAATAGAAGTTCTTCCCCTCCACTTGTTGCAATACAATCAGAAAAAAAAATAAAAAAATCCTCAGAACTTCATATTTGACAAGATTGAAGAAGACAACTTGAGCAATAAGATTGAAATTCCAAACATATTTGAAAAACCAAATTTAGGCTTTGTTTGGGACCGTTTACTTTCTGCTTCTTAAGACAACTTTTTAGTACAAAAATTAAATTTTTTACTAAAAAACAGCTTTAAGAAACAGTAAGAAAGTCGTCCCAAATGAAACCTAAAAGAAAGCAAAACATCCACCAAAGGATTAAACAAACTATAAAAACTTGATGGAATATATTTACAATTTGGTCACAGAACATTACAATCGTGTTACTAGTATATTGCACAATATTTTGATATCTGCAACTGTATTTCCCCATTACAATGAAAAAGCTATTAGCAGTATGATAAGTAATGATATAAGAATACACCCCCTTGAAATTTGAGGAGATCAAAGCACAGTTCCAATGTATTGTTGTTTTTGTTAAGGCTTCATTTGGGACGGCTTTCTTACTGCTTCTTAAAACAGTTTTTTAGTATAAAAATAAAAATTTGTGTACTAGAAAGATGTTTTAAAAAGTAGTAAGAAAGCCGCCCCAAACAAAGCCTAAATGAATCCTTCAGTTGGGAATGAGCTTGAATGGAGGCTTGGAAAGTGATGGTGTTGGTTCATAGTTTTCATAGTCATTGGTTGTGACTCCAAGAATTCTGTGATGGAGAACAAGAACTACTTCTTCAAAAGGTTTCTTAGAGAACTCCTGTTAATCATAGAAAATTTAATCATTAGTGTAGAGAGAATCAATATACAGAACTGAAGGGTGTGTATTCTGATCTTAGCCATTCAATCCACTTCGAATGGTTGGGATTCAATCCACTCTGATTTTGAGAGGATTAAGGCTTCGTTTGGGATGACTTTTTTACTGTATCTTAAAGCAATTTTTAGTACCAAAATTAAAATTTTGTACTAAAAAGCTGCTTTAGGAAGCAGTAACTAAACATCCCAAACGAAGTCTAAATCCTTCCACTCAAATTAGATTGGACGACTAAGATCCTTCAACTATAATTGTATAATTAATGGATGATTATAGATGATCCAACTAAGTTTGCAAAAAAGCAACAAGGAACTTCAAGCTTTATTGTCTGAAATTCTATGAACAAATCAAATTTACAGACAGAAGATTTTAAGATTGTTTTAAATTAAGCAATGCAAGCTCTAATCTAAGCAAAGCTTCAGAGTGATTCAAGGCTCTGAACTGAGCAAGCAAAAAAGCATGAGGAAATTCAAGCTTATTTGCCTGATTTTCATTGAATCAGTCACATTTAAAGATAGACTTCATGCTATATGTATGTACATAATTCTCTGATAATCAGAAATTTGATTTTGAAGTTTGTTCAATTATCCTTTAATGTCCTAAACAAAAGCACAAAATTTTCAAATTTATAGTAACTGCACTGCACTTTAATTTAATATTTTTTTTTTCTTTTATCTGTAGCTGACATGACAGGAAACATGAAAAGAGCCAGCAAATTGAAATCTTGGCTTCTTTTGGGAGGTCTTTAACGAAGCTCTAGTAACAGATACCTGTGTTGAAGATCCTGGAGGTTTTCCAATCAACTTTCTATGCCCATCAGCTGCAAAATCAAGAAAATAAGCAGATAAAATATATTCACGCTTTAGATTCTGTTCCTCAACCAATTTTTAATGAGAAAAACCAAATTCGATTGTAATAAACTGTGTAGAATCAGCATTTATATGAATTATATCATCCATTGCTCTATCAAGAATGCTGAAACTATGATTATGATCAGTAGAAATAGTATAATGTTTCCATGCCAGAAAGTTCTGATAAAAAACATCTTAAGGAAATCAAAAAGGCTGATGAGCTTCTGTATCAGTTCTGCATTACAGAACTGAGAAAGAGTTAGTTGTCTGGAATTGAAATAACGCAAAACAAACCTGTAGATGAAACAAACATCAATGAAGCCAATATAAGAACAGAAAGAAGAGCACTGAACTTCTTGATCTCCATTGGAGGACCTTCTGCAAGAATGATATGAAGCTTTTTCCTCCCTTTATTTCCAATATCTCAGAAGGAAGAAGAGATTTTCTTCTCCTCCTGAGAACGCAATGTTAGAGAAAAAGTATGGGATGGCTGTCCTTGTATTGGAATTAGATGGACAATTCTTTAATTGTGACAAAGCAAATCTCTGCAGGTTGTTGTCTTTTTTAAATTCAAATGATAGGTAAAAAAGGAGACTCTGAGCACTTTCTCTATGGAATTTTGGGCTGCACAAACAGTCCCTATCAGCTTTGATGCATCAATGCTTGTATGAGGATACATACATGATATCAATTGTATAATAATGCACAAATTAATTATAATGAATTTTTTTTTCTTTTGCAAAAGAAATAAAAAACAAAAATTATAAAAAAGGCATTCTAAACATATAAATGATAAAATATTTATTTCATTTGTTTTTTTTTTCAAAATTTAAATTATATATTTAGTCTTAAATTCTTTCTCAGTTCTGACATTTCATCATCGTTATCTCACACAGGCTCGTTTGGAACAACTTTCTTATTGCTTTCCAAAGTAGCTTTCTAGTACAAAAAAAAATCTTAGAATCAGCAAAATAAAAGAGTGGTCAAAAGCTGTCCCAAACAAAACCTTAATCTATGACATATGCATCCTTTATTTATTACTCTGAAATTATTTCGCAGTTCATCTTACTTGGGCTTCATTTTCAACAACTTTTTTATTGCTTTCTAAAACAGCTTTTTTAGTGCAAAAACTACTTAAAATCATTGAAAAAACGGTGGCCAAAAGCTATCCCAAACAAAACCTTAATATTACTTTTTTAACCATTGTCGACTAATACAACACGCGCCGGACTCACGTCATATACGTGTCCGTCCTACATATATTGGACATTGCAAACTTTGATAATATAAAATATCGATGATTATAACTATCAAAACTTTGTAAAAAACATGACTAATAATTTATAAACTTAAAAATATTATGATCAAAGATGGCTATTTAAGTTAAAATGATTATTAAATGTCACATTTCATATCTCCAAACAAACTGAGGACATTAACCATTAATTGTTAAAGAACTAAGGTATTTGAGGTCAATGATGATAGTGGGAATAAAGTCATTAAGGCCAGTTGTCTAAGATAAACTACTTAACTCTTCATCAAAACATCAAAGAATGAGACCCTGTAAGTGCTTAATAAATTGGGTTTGCAGGTCATGCAAGCAATACTCAGTGGTTAGAAAGGAAATCTGATTAGCAATTTGTATTAATCATTTGCAAATAATTATTATATTAACTATAGTGACATATTAACAATCTATAATTAAAATAGATCAAATGTATTTATTATTTTTCTTTTTTGTTAATAAGTGGATGCCCATAGTCAAAGCTGAAGCACTTATATTTTTATCAAGATTAGTGATGTACTTCACCACATTCTTTGTGGAAACAAATTATATAAGACTATTTTGATATATTTAATATAAAAAAATATTTAAAAATAAAATTTAAAATTTGAAAAAAATTATATAGATTTATCCAATTCATAGCTATAACATGTTGCTGTTGCTGCAAATTTTATTTAATTTGCTTTATTTAAAATTAGATTTTGTAATTTTATAGCTGTGAAATCCTTTAAAAGGAAATATTTTAAGGAATTTTTTTGACCTGAAGTTATTTCAGAAGTCATTTGGTAGAAAATATCTGAAATAACTCAAAGAACTAGATCTTGGGATTGACTTGTCACAGCTCAACACGACAGGATCTGTCCTAATCGGATTGAGGTATTGTGACAATATACGAGATCGAGAAGCATATTAGATGTCAGACTATCAATGAAATACTTTAATTATCCCTTAATTCATCATAATTATTAAAGGGGACCTTAAAGGAAAGCTAAGCTTTAATATTTAATAAAGCAAGATACCCCTTTAATTTGGTGATTAGTGTGCACTTTGATTAGTCTCATGGTGTGCTTAAGCTTAAAGTTAATGACATATTATAGCTTCTTTAGGAGACTAATTAGTGATCTAAAGGATGCTTTGAAGAGGAAAAGGACATGAAGCCAAACACATTTTAAAGAACAAACCATGGTGGAGAATAAAGAGTAAACCATTGCATTTAGCATTGTTTATTTATTCTATTATATAGTGGCTATGCTCCTTTTGTAACATAATGGGTGTTGTGATTAGATCTTTTAATTTGTTAAAGCAAAGTGGGACTTTAGCTGTCTCATCTTCATTGATTATATTCCACAAGCACAGCACTCACATAAAAGATGCATGCTTATACTAATTAATGTGTTGAACCATATTCATTTTGATGGTTATTAATACATAATTTAGGATTGTTTTTGGGCCGAGTTCGGGTCCAACCGGAAATTGATCATGCACTATTTGGAATCATATTCATTTTGATGGTTTGGCCAAACATAGTGACGAAGCCAGCTGCAGGCCAGCAACACAGCTAGCTGGCAATGCGGGTCTGGGGCCAAGGGGCGATGCTTACAAGTGACTCGACCAAACACTGTCACAGGATGATGCCAACGAGTGTGATATTCCTGGGGTAACCCGGGTTGGTTTTGAGTTTCCGGTTACAAACAGGTCAGAATCCCGAACCTGAACCTGACCCTATTCTTAAACGGGTTAACCCTAACTTGAAATTTTCGGGTCAAATTTTCAATCCGTGACAAATACTGACACCCCTAATAGTGCTAATACATATAATTTAGTTAATATAGAGTAAATATTTATTTGATATTTTCAATGCAATTGTGACATTATGATTGATATGGTGGACACATTGCTTCCCTTAGGGAAATATGTATCTCTCATAAGTAGAATAATGGCAGTATAAAAACATCAAGCTCATGGAGCTACCATTCTCAAGCTAATTTTCATATTATAAAGCCAAAATTAATACAAGTCCAATTTCCATGCCACTAAGGCTTGGTTTGGGACGATTTTCTTACTGCTTCTTAAAGTAAATTTATAGTACAAAAATAAAAACTTTTATACTAAATTTTTTTTTTTAAGAAGCAGTAAGAAAACTGTTCCAAATGAAACCTAAGACCAAATAATAGCTTTGTCTTAGCAGTTATAGCATTGCCATTGATTATTCCTTTCATTGATGTTTAACTTGTTACTCAATTTGTTTTGCTATGATCTTCACTCCAAGTATGATTAGTTGCCATTTTCCTTCAGAGCTCTATTCTCTTGACCATATTTGTTTTACTAATATGGACTATATTAGTTTTGTTTGTGTGTTTCACTATTGGTTTGTCTATAACTTCCAATTGGAGATTCTCTAGTTGGTTTATGGTCCTTCTACCATGTTTGGATTGTAATACTTAGCAACTATATTTTTCAGCAAATTTGATTAAAATATTTCAATTATAATTTAAATTTTATTTTTCACCTAAGCAAATTATAGCAAGCAATGATATGATTTGATATAATTAGAGAATTAGAAAAAGGCGGTTCAAACTCTTTTTCATTAATGGCAACCTACCCCCGTTTCCTCTCTTTTATTCCTCCTTTTTTTTCTTCGAAAAGTGGTTACATAAGTTTTGTAATGCCTATAAATGTGCTGAAATATTTTGTAATTTTCATTGATGAATGAAATATGTTGGTGGAGATGCTCTTCATTTACTTGTAATTGGTGACTTCTATTTTTTTTTTTTATCTTTGATGAGCTAAATTGTTATCTTTATATTTTTATATAAATTACTTATTACTCCTCTTAAATACATGCTCCATACTCCTCAAATATCTTCTTACAATTTATAAGCATGCTCCATTACCAATAAATTAGCAATCTAAATATTAAAATAATTCTAAACACTATCACATAACTCTCAACTAAACTATGAAACATTAAGACATAATTTTGTTCTCTATATATCAACGTCCTCTTAAACTCTACCAAACTCTATTATCAACTATAGATCATAAGTTCACATCTTAAGCTAATCCTCCACCGTCATTTTTAGTCATTTATCTAACATATAACTAACTCCCTAAAGTGATATTTCAAATTAACTCAAACCAACCCAAATTAGACTAGTCCTGACCTTCATATTAGTGCACCACTTTAAACCTCTCATCATTCTATCAAAAACTCTGAAAAACTTATTAGAGATTATGTTGCTTACATGTATAGCTAAACTCTTTAAATCAATCATTGGATTGACTAAAAACCAAAATCCATGTTGTATATTGCTCATTTACTTTGTTGTGTACACCCAAGAGTAATATGAGAAAGTCAACATACACATAATATTCAATTAAACCCTAAATATGTAACAAATATAAGGTAATAAAATCATGTTTCTTGTTAATTAAAATATTAATTTCGAAGGAGATTAAGGCTTCGTTTGGGAGGACTTTCTTTGTTGCTTTTTAAAGCAGCTTATTAGTATAAAATTTTTAATTTTTGTACTTAAAAATTGTTTTAAAAAAGTCATCTCAAATGAAACCTAAACCTTCGTTTGGGACAACTTTTGTACTGATTTATAAAGCAGTTTTTTAGTACAATTTTTTTAAAAAAAATTGTACTAGCAAGCTGTTTTAAAATATAGCAAAAAAGTTGTCTGAAACGAAGCCTAAACTAACTCTATCTTATTGGACTCTTTAGTAACATAATAAAAGATTTTTTTTTTTTTTTTCAGAGGTCAAGTTTTTCTAGCCGTATAAGGCTCTACAAAGAGCTCCATAGCACCTAAAGTAAACAATTGCAAGAAATTGGCTCCCCAACTTCTCAGCCTTAATTAGACTTTTATTTTTATTGCGTTGACTTCATATTTTTATATATTAGATTGGAAATTTAATAAATTATTTATTGAGTCTCTTCTCCTTTAAGTTTTCTGCAAAAATAATGTAAGATATTATGTTCTTTGTGTCTTGGTGTGTAATTAAAAAAAAATTCTTGAGCGTTTTGGTAAATAATTAAAAATTTATATAAAAAAATCATGTGGCATAGGTAGGATAGTCATGGCTTTGACGTGGAAGCGATGTCCATGGAAAAATTATTATTATTATTATTGAAACTATTTTCTTTATATATTTTTTCATTTAAAAATTCATTGAGATAAACTTTTAATCATTCATTAAATTCATTATTTTTTTTAATATTACTAAATGCTAAGCAAATTGAGATTATTTTTTTAATGATCATTTAGATAAGTGAGTCATTAGTAGGCTATGATTTGCCTCTAATGATCACATATTAATACACAACTTCACAATAAGCCTCGCATGATGATAAAGAGGGAATATGGAAATTACTCATAATTTTTTTTCTATGATTTGATGTCATAAATCATGTATGTGAAAAGATACATCATCATTAAATTGAATTAAGTAAAAATGATTTTATCAGTCACATACAATATATGTATTAAATGATTCATTTCATGATTGTTCGATAAATTTTACGTTGATTGTGTCAACTATCTAATATAATCCTACTTTTTTTTTCATCCTGAAGTTAGGACCCGGCAACGACTGTGTTACACAGAGAGAGTCGTCATAGATAGTTTGGTTACATAAACTGTAGACCTTTCGATTACCTGATTAGGAGAAGAGGCATGTTAAAACTGACTTATGTTAAACAATGTAGAGGTGGATCTAAAAAGGCTTGGTTAGAAAGTACTGGAAATGACATTTTAATTATATTTAAATTAGAATTTGACTCTTAATAGGACATAATGACGAAAATGATTCATATAGGAGACCCTACTTAATGAGATAAAGGCATGATGATGTTATTGTTATTGTTGTATTATATAAGTTATATACATACAGCTGCAATGAGTAGCATCATTTACATCATTAACATGGATTGTTCTATCATCATTAATAATTGTCATACATATACCTTTATTATATAAAATGATGCATCATCATTAATAATTGTCATACATATATCTTCATTGCATGAAAGGAGACATCATCATTAGCAATTGTTACACATATATCTTCATTAGTAAGTGATATAGAGGTCTAAGATCTATATAGAGATCTCCTTGATGAATTGAATTTATTCCATTTTGAGTTCAAATAGATTGATTAAATCAAATAAAGTCAAATTGAGCTTAATCAATTAGAGATTTTTACCATCCCAATAGCTGCCTATTATTTTTGGCTTCTTCATATATATATATATATATATATATATAATTGTTTGATTTGGTTTTATGATACAAAGGATTTCAGTTGCTTTGGATTTTGATTTTTTTTTTAGTTTTGCTTAATTAGTTTAATTTAATGTTCTTGTTTTAATTTTTTATGTTAACATGTTTGTCCAATCAATCTTAAGTTTTGATTCCATCTAACTAAGACTTTATTTGGAATGATTTTTTTATTGTTTCTTAAAACAGGATTTTAGAACAAAATTTTTAATTTTTTACTAAAACTCTGTTTTAAAAATCAATAACAAAGTCGTCACAAACGAAGCCTAAATTTGATATGAATAACTAAGCTAAAGCATTAGTTTTCGTTGATAAAATTGTACATTGATCAAGTGAAGTGTTACTGAATAATGACGACTTCCAATAATGCCACGAGAGAAAATACTTCATCTTCTATAATTGCAATTTATATCATCATAGTATGAATGTATATCTTTCATAATAAACCTTCGTCAATGAAGAGCATTGCTCTAATAATAATTGTTATAATCATAATAACGAGGATTAAGTATGAATTGATTTTTCATCTATGAAAGTTAGTAGAGAATTTTATTGAGGTTTCATTTGAGACAACTTTTAGTCATGTCTTTCACGCTGCTTTCAAGAAATTTTATATTAAAAAACTATTTTCGAAAGCTGTAAGAAAAGTAATCTCAAACAACTAAACTCTATATTGGTTGAATGGCTCTCTAATAGGGAAATTGGAGATGATTTGTAGAGGAGTATAAGTGGGGGATTGAGAGAGATAAGAGGAAAGGATGAGGAAGAAAAGAAGAAGAAGAATATGAGAGAGAATTCAAGAAGAGAACAAGAGGAGAATAGAAGGTAGAGGAATAGAGTTTTAGGGGTTGGGAAATAATCTTCTAAGCATAATCATGTTCATTTACAAGAGTGTCCCATTTATAGACCAAATTGGCAAACTAATTTTTAGCCTTTTCTTAAAATCACTAATATGTCTTCAATACAATAATCATGATACATCAATTAGCATACAAATGATATAATCATGGCGTCTTTCATTGATGAGAAATTTTAGTCGATAGCAATAAGCCGAATCTGCTACTAACTTATAGTAATATTATTAGCAAAACACAGCTCATATTGATCTGTTGGTTAGAAGCTTTGAGTTTCAGTATTGTATATATATGATATGTGTGAATTTGCTTTGATTAACCTAAATGTCCTAAAAAAATATTATTAGCAATAAAAGTTGCTCGTTGGACAACAAGAGAGGCCCTACCTAGGGGTGCAAGTGAGCCGGCTCGCCGGCTCAAACTAGACTCATTTATGGGTTCGCAAGCCGAGTATATCAAGCTCACGAGTCCGAGCTTTTATTGTTAATATTTTTAAATAAATTTATTTTATTTCTTAAATTTAAATATTTAAATAATAATAATAAATATTTAAATTATTTACTTATATAAAAATACATTAATATTTAATGTTTAGATTAATAATAAATGTTTAAAATATTTAATCAAATTTTAAATATTTAGGTATTTAAAATAGTTAATAATATTTAAAAAATGCCACCGAGGCTCTTGAGCCGGCTTGAGCTCGTTTACAGTAGACTCGAGCTCGAGTTCGAACTGACTTTTTGACCAATGAGTCGAGCTCTATAAAATCACTACTCGACTCAACTTGAATCAACTCATTTACACCCCTACCTCTGTCACACAAAACAGCCAACTTGCTATTTAATTGAGATTCCATCCCATGAATGGAAACATGATTGTTCCATAATGTGCACAACAAGTAGTTTTTAAAATAAGGAACTAACTTTGTTAAATAAGGATTCAATCACAACAAAGTCTAGTTCTAATTTGTTTTTTAGTAGCTTATTATATAAAGAAATAGGAACAAGAAGCAAAGGCAATGATTAATAATTGCAACCCAAAAAAAGATGGCCCTTAAATCAGATAAATTATTACGTCCGGTCATCGGACGTAGAGATACGTCCGGATATTAATACAATATTATTTTCAATTAAGCGCATCAAAAGCGCAGGTAAAGTGCAGGTAAAGCGCAGTCAAAAAAACACAATCAAAGCGCAGATAAAACACAGTCAAAACGCAGGAGACGTGGCAAATTTTTATTGGATGTCCGGACTTATTTTTAGGTCCGATAACGAGACTTTATAATTTGCCCTTAAATCATGAAGATGTTATTTTTATAATATAATATTTTTAATCGCCTTGATAAAATTGAGTGTTTATTATGATTTTAAAATTTATTTGATGAATTTTTAATGGATAAATTAGATAAATGTAAATTCTCAATATTTTCATATAAAAATATATGTGCATAGATGCTTTTTAAAATATTTTGAGAATTTACATCCATACCATACAATTCATATATTTTTACATATGTATTATTTATTTATAAAATACCTAAATATTTTAATCACATAAAAATATCACTAACATCAATTTTCTTGAAATAAAATACATATTTTATGTATTTACAATTCATATACACATATAATATTTTTTATAAAATATCTAAACCTTATTGCTTTTTTAAATCAACTTTCTAATATAAAAACTTCTAATTCAAAAAAAAAATTAAATAAAAAACTGCATTAAAAAATAGTACAAAAATTATCCTATAAATGAAATTTAGGCTTCGTTTGGAGCAACTTTCTCACTACTATTAAAGTAGCTTTTATTAAAAAGCTATCTTAAAAAATAGTAAAGAAGTCATCCCAAACGAAGCCTTAGGCTTCGTTTGAGATGGCTTTGTCGCTTAAAGCTGCTTTTCAATACAAAAGTTTAAATTTTTGTACTAAAAAGCTGATTTAAGAGCATAAAAAAAGCTGTCCCAAACGAAGCCTTAGGCTTTGTTTGGGACATCTTTTTTATTGCTTTCTAAAACGGAGTTTTAATACAAAATTTTTTATTTTTGTACTAAAATTCCATTTTAGAAAGCAATAAAAAAGCCGTCCCAAACAAAGCCTTAGTCTTCAATATATGAAAACAAGACGGAACTAGAAAATAGCAGAAATAATTGTATGTTAAACAGTATGGATAAACTCATCAAAACTACAAGCCAGGAAAATATTAGTTCAGAGCCTAATAATCAACCATCTCAAATACACTTCTGAATATACAATAACTGCACTTTGAAGTTGTAAGTATATAGTTATTTGTGTCTTTTCAGCTGTTGAATTCTAATGATACAGTTGCTTTCAAGTGATTCATGCTTCAGCTTCATGTGTATGCATGATGCCTATGACGATCTTTGTCTCGAGAGGACTGTGAACTGTGATATTCGCTTCGATCTGATAAGACATAAAAGATTCAAAGATCATGACTATAATGGACTCATTTAGGTTTCGTTCGGAACGACTTTCTTATTACTTTCTAAAACAGTTTTTCAGCACAATTAATTTTTTATTAAAAATTGTTTTAGAAAGCAATAAAAAAACTGTCCCAAACGGAGCCTTAGGCACATAAATTCAATCGGAATATAAGCACAGCATACCCCGCGATGAATGATGCCTTGGTTTTTCCGAGTGTCCTGCTACCAAGAAGAGAAGCAATAAGTAACAAATGCTGCCAGGCCAAAATATATTATCATGAAATTATGATTTTGTTTGGGACGGCTTTCTCACAGCTTCTTAAAGCAGCTTTTTAGTATAAAAATTTTAAGAAATTTTTACATACATAACACCTAAAACAATTGGAAATATATATTTAACACCTAAACTTCTATATTTACTAATATACCACTTAAACCCCTCTTTTAATCAATTTTAACATTCCGTTTAAACCTTCCGTCAAAAATCACTATCAACAACTATCTTCCCCGTCAATGGCATCCTTCCACGGTGAATACAAGTATCTCATCGCTTCAATGGAGTGGTAGAATAGAAGGAAAAAAATGGATTTTATGTGGTATATTAGTAAATATAAAAATTCAGATGTTAAATATGTGGTTTTAAGAGTTTAGTATGTAAAAATCTCAATTGTACTAAAAAACCTTTTTAAGAAGCAAGGAGAAAGCGGTCCCAAACGAAGCATACGAAGCCTAAGAGAAGGAAGCACCTGAGCTTTTGTCTTTGGAGCGATGACTCCTCTCCTTCTCCCTGTCCCTGTCCCTATCAGAGTCTCTGCCCCTGCTCTCACGATCCGAGTCCCGACCCCTGTTATCACGATCACGTTCTCTTACTTTCAGCCTCTCTCGATCTCTTTCACGATTCTTCTCAGCATTACCATCTGATTTATAGTCACTCTTTGATTTTTCAGTATCATCTTCTTTAGTATCAGCCATGGTTTTACTATCCTCATCGCTCTTCTTGGATTCCTTTAATTTGTCTAAAGCTGCTTTTATTATCGCATCCTTTGAAGAGCTGCTACCATCCTGACTATTATATTCCTTGGGAGTGCTGGAGCCATTAGCATTTCCATTAACAGGGCTTTCCTAAACAGAAGAACATCAAGCAATGTGCTGATGCAGTAAGGAAATTGAAAAGGCAAGACTTTAAGAAGGAACTTGGGCAAAGTTTTTATTAGCAGGAGCAAAATTTTGTAGAAATTTAAGAAGCAAATTAGTCAAACCATTTGGTTATTTCTATAGAAATCGTCAAATGATTTGGCTAATTCTATAGAACTAAACAAATAGTTTGGCTTATTCTAAATAAGTCAAACTATTTGGCATTTCCTACAGAACTAGCCAAACAATTTGGCTAGTTCCATAGAATTAGTCAAATTGTTTGGCTAATTCTGAATACACCAAATAATTTGACTAATTCTACAGAATTCGTCAAATTATTTGACTAATTCTATGCGGAGATCCACTAACCATGTGATTAGATGATTAAAGACGTATTAAAATATTTTAAAGAAGGTAAACATGTAAATGCGCCATTTCATTCAGCTAATTTTCCCCATTTTAAATTTCCGCCGCTCCGTGCCCCTACTGCTAAATTCTTCTTTACCCAAGCCTCTTCTTAAAAATAACCCAATTGAAAATAATAACAAACAAACAATTACTGTAACAGAATTTATCACCTTGGAAAAATGAGATTGTGGATTTGGAATCCGGTTGATTGATGTGAAAGAATCATTATCTTTATAGACTGGTAGATACTGTGCCTTGGGGAGACTGTAGAGGTGAGCAAGAACTCTACAAACTTCCTGAATTCCAGCCTGATCGGCATCAAATACAAGCCACCAAGGTGGATTTTCGGGAAGAGGAACCTGGAATCGTCGTGCTGCGGCATATACAACTCCGCACGCTACAACTTCGCTCTTAAAGCGAACGCACAAAGTTGTCCTCAAACTGCAAAAAAAGCAGCAAGAGAAAAGTATCAATTAAAATAAAGCAATGTTGTATAATCAATCAAACAGTGTTGCAGAGCTGCCTCTAAAAAGTCATAAAAGAATACTAGTAATTATGCTGCAAAGAGAGGAGAGTGACCAGTCGGTCTAATTAAATTTAATCCAGATGTAATGACCTTCAAAATGTTATCAAAACTACCAACGGTAAGATTTTATTTAAGAATTTTTAAGGTCATGGGAAACAACACAATTGGATGCATCAAGATTTTCTCAAAAGATATATAGATCGAAAATCCTGTGGGAGAAATCAAAATGCATAGAACTAATTAATTAGGAGAAATATATATATATATAGCAGGTGAACAATGTGACGCCAACAAGCAAATAGCAGAAGGTTTGACATTCGGCTGGAGCGACCAAACGACGTCATACACATGTTTGGCTTCAAGTGGAGATGCCCTAAGAGAAATATACAGGTAAATCTATATTTTAAGTGGGCTTCTTTATGCCATCAAATCATTCATTGATTTTTTCCAAATACTCAAGGAATGGTTAAGTCACGTATGTGTATGGGTGTGTTATGTGCATGCATCAATAAAAGTACAGCATATTTGCTAAGCATAAAAAGTTATTCAAAGAGGATTCAACAATTCGATGAATTATTTGATGAAGAATTCATTGTATTCAGCCATAGTAAATTATTTGAGAAAACCAGACATGACACTGAATTCCACACTTTCCTTGAAAACCATTGTTAAGTAAATGCATCCAAATATTAAAGTGGGCGTGCATGATGCATCGGCCTCTCATAAGTATAGAAAATGATTCTACACTACATAACCTCTGCAATGCAAAATTGTTCCTATTATTCAAAGACATAATCAGAATCTCAACAACATAATATACTGTTAGGCCAATGCCTACATACAAACCACCATTTTACAAACCCTATGATCCGCCCATGCCTATGATAATCCAATGCATGATTCATCAACTTTTCAACATTCAACTAAGGCTTCATTTGGTTACCCGGTACCTTTTGTAAAAGGTAGTTTTAAAAATATTGGTTGAGAGAATAGAGTTTTGTAATGGAGAAGCATATATCAAAAAACTTTTAAAAACAATAAAAACACATTGTTTTGTAAAAAATATTTTTACAAAATGTTACATTCAAATAACAATTAAAAAATAACTTTACCATTTCAAGACGGAAAAGGCAAAATTAAGCCGTTCCAAATGAGGCCTAAACTGTATCATCAAAGGGATGTTTGAGTGAGACCCGTGTTGCTGAACATGACATTTTGGGAGACTTTGTCAAGCACATCGTTTTGTAATGAGTACGATCAGAGTATGCCGACAGTAAGGCATAAGAGATATTGATGCAAAGCTAGTTGTGAAAAGAGAAGTGAAGAGAATCTGAAGACCACCAATTAAGCTAGTTGTGAAAAGAGAAGTGAAGTGAATCTGAAGAGCACCAATTAAGAGCAGTTTTAAATTAATTTTATTAGGTCAATGATCCAAATACAACCCCATAATCCCTTATTACAAAATTAGGGGTACAAAAATAAGATAAAATTATTTAAAACCAAATCTAATCCTACGCAAAATAAAATATTACTTAAGATTCAAATTTAAATTCAAAATATCCAAGAGAATAATTAATGCTAATAAAAATAATCTATAAAGTATGGACTTTTGTTGCATCATTTCTCTTGGGCTAAATAAAATTCTTCTCCTGAAGAATTATGTAGAAGACCTTTTCTTAAAATTCAGGTGCTCATGGTGGAGGAAATGATGTAACATCTTGAAAATAATCTTTTAATTCTTTACATGTCCAAATTGGATATAAAGCAATCCAACCGGTTCATCCTGGACCAGCCCTAGTGTATAAGAAGTGGAACAGAAGTTTCGCCCAGTAACTTCCGCCTCCCTTAGGGTGGGGTCTAGTAGCCAATTAAAGAAGGGAATTAAGTCTTGGTTATGAGGGAAATTTCAAATGAGGAGTTGTTTTGGGATTGCATCATTATTGTATGCTTTAAGTAGATTGTTTCCCTAGGATTAGGGTTATGTCATGTTTGCTGAATTTAGATTGTTCTTAGGTTGATTGAGCTCTAGCCACCGGCTAGGATTTGGGAGAGCCATATCTTCCTCTCCAATTGAAGATCAATTGTATTTTGTTTGTTTTTCTTCCACATATCATCAATTAAAAATATTTTCTCTTGTTATTCCCCATAGTTCTTCTTGTGGATTGTGTTTGGAATTGCTGAAATTCAAGTTCAGCCAAGGGCTCTTTGATTTCTGCAAGCACTTCCTATTAGAAAGCTTCATATCCAAATGCCTCAATGCACCACATATCTTCCTCAAAATAAATCCAAATATCTCAATCAAATTGATGTAACAGAAATAATAGCACAAACACAATCTGCATTATTGGTGAGCAACAGAACAATATTTTTTTAATATAAGAATCAAACTGTATATCTGGAGAAGCATCAGGCAATGATACTTAAATATATGGATCAACATATTCCTTCATCTCAATTGAAGGTAAATGATCAATGTCATGCTCAACTACGGTCATCGAATTAGGCTCATAAATAATCTTAGTCACAACCTCAAGGTTATGTCACCATGAGGCTCAACTATTGATGATTGATAATCATCAAGTTCATATGCAAATTCATCACAAAAATAATCATAGATCGACTAAGCCAATCGAATTGGTAGAGGTGACAAAGATGGATGAACATATAGAATAGACACATGTTTATGAGCATTGTAATAAGAGAGACTAATGTACAAAATGATCCATCAACATCATAAGGTGTTTTTGGATTGAAATGGATGTTATGCATAATCGTCAAAAATTCTATAATGATATACATATTCTTCAATCACTAATCTAACATAATTATTTCAACAATAAGAACAATAATAATGAGCATAATTATAAGAATCACCTGCAAGAAAGTGAATGTTTTCTCAATCACATCATCTAAAACTACAAGCTAATAATGTGTTCAATAGCCATCCCAACCAAAAACACATCTAATATATTTTTATGGTCTGATATGTTTATAAGCTTTATGAAACAAGACAATTAAATAATAGCATCAATTCCAAAGTGAAGTATGAGAATTTTGTAGCTCCAAAGGTGAGATTTTGGATTTGTGAGATATCTCCAACGCATACATATGCATTTTATACAAGGCCATTTTCTTGGCTTTACTGATGAGTGATGGCATGGTAATAGACATAGAAATTTATATGTTTTAAGGCTAGAGTTTAGATAACTTTAGCATTTAGAAATTTAACTCTAAATATGATCCATCCAATCTTCATGCATGTCAATCATCTCCTTCAAGATTTTTGGCTTAGATTGACAGGTCTCCTCACTGATAAGGAAGCTAATAAGTAGCAGAATGACTGTTGGTAGTTGACTAGAACCACTAAAACATTACTTTAATCAATCACATAGTGTCGTAAGGAAGAGGATTGCAAGTATAAGACAGAAATTTATATGTTTTAAGGCTCTACTTTAGCACCATCCAATATTGATGTATGTCCATGATCTCCTTCAAGATTTTTTATACAAATTGGCGTGCTTCTTGGAAGTATAAGATGAGCTGATTATAATTGGCTGCAGTTAAGAGAAGATAAATGGAATCAATATCAGAGATGTAAGGTGTTAGATGGTAGTATTCGTGAACAGAAAACAAGGACTCAGCGATGAATGTGGTTTCCATGAAAAAGAGGATTGCATGTATCATGGTAGGAATCAAAATACAAGATGGACTGAGCAATAAAATCAGCTACTGGATGCAGCACTTCCGTGAGCAACAACAGAAGATAAAATAGTGTGTAGCATTGACTTGACTCAATAAATAGTTGTAAGGCTCACAATGGAAATTGGAGGTTGTGATGCACAACAAGCAATGCAAATGTGCAAATGCATTGACGCGTGAAAGCAGGTGGGAGCACAGGATGTGTGAATGAGGCAATGGCAAGAAGCACAGTCCAATGTCGAAACTTAAAAGAAAAGAGTCTAATGCATAAAAAATTAGGCTTCGATATTAGAACGATACAAAATTGGCAACAAAAATAAAAATAGATAATTTAGTATCCATTGGTTGGGAGAGGAGATAGAATAAGGGAGGAGACTTTAATATCAATTCATTCAATCAAATGATTCAAATAAAAGACATGAATCCCTATTTTATAGAAATAGGATTACAAAAATAAGAGCAAATAATCTAAAATTAAATTTAATCATATACGAATACAGGAATTGAATTGATTCTTCAAACCCACTTAACCTAAATTATTTAGGCTCTCCTGAAACCCTGTAAACCTGTTTTGGACTTGAATTATACTAGAATTATGATGGGCATTGGGTGTCCAACCATTAAATCCAATTTAAGGCCCGCTTATAATATAATATATTTAATGAATATTAAAATAGAAATGCACTCAATAATATTAGTCTAATCAAAATCAACTTGATACATTGATTAAAGCGTAAAGGAAAAGTATTGAGGGCGCACGACTATGGATTTCTTCCAACTCCCAAGCTTGTACATTAAGCATAAATCATAGCATTGTTACCTGAAATTGTCGCCAATATCACTCAAAAGAAAATAAATGCTCTCAAAGTATCTGAATTATGGCATCAAAAACTCACAGAAAAATGTGCTTCTGTGCGTGTATATATTTGGAATGGGGGGTATTACAATACTATGGCACACTGCCCACACATCCAAATTGGTTTCATATGTGATATTGGTACCTTTATACAATGGATATGTTTTGCTGCAATTTCTTAGGGAAAAAAAAAGTATGACATGCTCTATAATATAGTAGTTTATAATGCTGGCTTGTTAAAACCAAACTATCTCCAACACAAATGATTTTTATATTATAAAGTTCTGCAACCAGAAACTCAGCTATAAGTTAGTATTTTAGCTGAAATAGTAGAATTTATAAGTAGATATCTTGAAACATGTACTTATAAATGAGTATGTGAAATAAATAAAATTTACCTGTCATTAGCAAGGTTCCAAGCTTCCTGCCTAAGGTCAAGAGGGGCTCCTAGTGTTGCCAAGTAGTTTGAGATGAACTTGTGAGGATGCTCCACATGGCAGATAAAGCCCATCTCCTTTAACAAATGTCTCTCTGTTCTAATCAAATCATTTTTCAAGTCTGAGTATTTCTGTGATCATAGCATAGAATAAAATCAGTATTTATCAGAAAATACATAGTAACTCATTGGAAAAACTAACAGCAATTACATTATAATATTTCTCCAAGGCAGCAAGTGGCAAAGCCATGTAAATGCCTAAAAACATAACTGGGCAACGAGATACAGTTAATATAAATCTGCATAACAAATGAGATAACCTAGCGGTATTTTCTTTAGAGCCAAGTTGCCAAATTCAAGATCAAAATCCCATATAACATAACAGAAACACCAACCTTAGAGATGACATCAAGATGTTCTATCGGTAAGCCCTCCCTTCTACACTCCATTCGGTGAAAGACCATAAGAATATACTTTGCTTTTCTAGGGCTCTCCTCAAGTTTGGAGGCCAGCCAAACACAGCTAGCTGCTACCCTCTACATGATCAAAAGTAGAACAGTGGCGTATCACAAGAGATAAATGAAGCCCTTATACATTCTTACCAGAGAAAAACACATAGGCATACCTTCACACTGAAGCGGGCAAAAGACTTTTTGCAGTAGAACCGGTGGAAGAGGACCTGCCCAGTGGCCATGACTGCTTGGGGTCTACCAGAGTCAAGAATTTATAAGCAAATTTGTAATCATAAATCAACAGTAGAATCAACCACAAACATAGATTAAACGGGAAGACATTAAATAAGAGAAAAAAGGATACAATCTGAGAAGAATACCGCTCTCCTGAATGAGATCGCACCCATAGATCCGCAACATGGTCTCCGTGTCCTCGTCGATGCCATCTTTCCTCGAAGGGGAATTCTTCAGCTCTTCATCAGTGAGGTAGAAGTTATCGATTGCAGTGTAGATCATTTCGATCTAAAAGACTCCTGTTGCCTATGCAACCACGTAGGAGAAAAGGGAATAAGTTTCTTCAAATTATAAGGGAAATCGATGGAAAAATGAAGCCGGGTGTTTTAGTGGAGACTGAATCAGGTCTCTATTTTTCTTCAATTTAGGGGCTGTTTGGATGCAGGATTTAGCCGGATTTGAGCTAAATCCAGCCAAACGGCCAAAAATGAAAAAACCAAATCTCAAGGTAAATCAAAGCCGCGGTTGACCGAAAATTCCCTCTTTGCGTGGTAAATCCCGTATTTACGAAATCCTTTGGTTCGGCGGATTTACGCGATTTGGTCGAAGAAGCGCGCGAAAGGGATAAAGTTACCTTCACAGCAAGCGAGCTCCCGTTGTTGCTTCCGATCAAAAAATGCCGTAACTTCCGCTCCAACAGGAAGGGAACGCCGTCGAAAGAGCGAAGTCCAACAGCGACGAAGAAGAACTCGTGCAGAAATCTCCACTGCTGCGAGGAATTTTCAACCGCAATACATTTGAGGCGGCGGGTTTGCCTTCTCGACGGTTCGGTTAAAAGGTCCGTTCCTACTGCTGTAGACAAGGTTCGGAAATTTGTACAGGATAATACTCTCTTGTCATTTAACGTCCCATGACTCTTATTGTTTTCATTGAAACTTATTATTTTTATTCTAAATTTTATTTTAATATTAAACTAATCAAAGCACCTAAATATTTCCAAAACAATTCTTTTGAATTTCTTATAATTTGTTTAAATTTAAGAAACATTTTTTTTTTAAATTTTTTTTTGAAATGATTGGTCATCACTAATATAATAAATGGAGAATAACTGTAAGTATGTAACAACGATAGCATCACTAAATGACACACCTTGCAGCTCAAGGTTCCCGCAAGAGTTGGTCCAAATCATCCGGCCATCCCATGGCTCCCGGTTCCCGCACGGGATGACCAAAGGACACTACAACTCCACTAAAGTTCTATTATTCTCACCCACTCATAGGATTAGAAATCAACCACTACGTATTTGCTTATGTTAATGGAATGGTAGTGGAACTGCTACAATATTAATTAACATTTAATTAAATATAACAATAAAGTGATTTAATTAAACTTCAAGAATATTAGTTAAATGAATTTATGTATATATCTAAATGTTATTTATTATATATATCAAAATGCTCAAGACAAAATAAATAGGATTTAAATAAAAATAACTTTTAACTTCGATGTGTTAGGGAGGAATGATAAATGGGGTAACTTTTGGGGAATTTTATATATATATATATATATATATATACACACACTTACATTTTGACAAAATTTTGATTCTTATAAAAATAAACTTTATTGACTATCATACAATCTCCAGTCCATAAAGTTACAAATGAAGATGCATATAGTAAAATTGAGGCAAGTACAATAAATAAATAAAAAATACTCGAAAAGAAACATATGACTAGTTTTAGAATTAAATAAAATATGATATTGTTGAGAAGGAATATAAGTCATACATGTTATATATGGAGCATCATAAGCCTCCTGTTGAGTTAGATTATATATATGTGATTGAATTGGAGCTGAAGCAACATTATTACTAGACTCTCTCTGACCATTGTCAGATGACCTCCCTGCCATAAAACCATATCAAATGCCTATGCAGTAAAACTCTAAATAAATATATGAAATAGAATTGTCTTGTCGATCTAACAAAACCCTCATATATATGCTTAAATTGCTAGTCAAATCTTTCTTATGGATACTGTACCATCCAGTGTCCTGCTTGTTTGCATCTAAAACACTGGTCAGGCATCTAATAGCGCTACCCAAAGTGACGTCTATCTTAACTCTAACGTACATGTACCCCACTCATAAAACTCTCATAACTAGCAACACTTCGCCTACTCAAAGCTGCCATAGGTACAAAATATAAATATTTCCTGGACTCTTTAGGTACAAATATATTATTCTTCCTAGAAAAGTCACTACCAAAAGTCTTACAACTGAACCTCTTCCTACTAGTAATCAATTGATATTAACTAGTCATCAGATCAATTATATCATATGAGCTCTCTCTACAGCCTCAACGAAATAAAAAATGTGAAATGATACTAGTGGCTATCTTAAAGACTTAAACTATCTTGCATTCCTCTTAGAAACATGTAGCACTTATTCAGAGGAGTGCTAATAAATTGTGAAGCATATATAGCTAAAGTAGTGAACTCTATCTCATACGGTTTCACTGTCCCGCTCCTATGAAATAGTCTCTAAAAAGTCTCATGCGTCTATTGCATACAAAAGGTGGTATAAACTAAGCTCTAAACACATTTGAGAACTTTTGCCAATTATTCAGAAAATTCAATTTCTTTTAAAATTTGTTCTCTTGCTGGCCCATCCACTAGTGCTCAGCCTCATTATATAATATAAATATTATTAATGGTACATTCCTCTTAAAAGGATATTGCATACTATCGAATGTCTTATCCAACCTCCTCAATCAGTCCTTTGTTGCTTTGGGCTCAATAGCTCCTTCAAATCTCATAGGTTTCAATTTAAAAAATATATGTAAATGTCTATTTACCTTATCAAATCTAATAGCAGGAACCCTGCTCTGTCTCACCCATTATCTAAGCTATCTGACTAATAAATTGAGAAATATTATCAAAACTCACAATCGGAGCCATACTATATACAAGAGTTGCCTAATTGCCACTCTACATGTATATCGTATTCAGGTTAGGTGGATGCATAATCACATAAAATATATAACTAAACATACATGCATGTGAAACAAATAATAATCAATGCTCATACAGACTCGAAACTGCCCCACCTGACTTACAAATAAAATCATATAGTTTTGTTTTATGATTCATTCTAAAATTATTATTCTGATACCACAAAAGCTTTTCATAACTCAGCTAGATTAGGACATGTCATATCGTATTGAAGTGTGACAAACTAATCATAAAATCAAATTTTAGAAAATTTCAAGTTCTTTTTCAATATTCATTGTAAATAAATAATAAACTATAAAGCTGCTAAAACATCCAAGTACTAAAAATATACTTATATATAAACATAAGTTATATAATTGAATAATAAATTAATCATAACTATATATATATATATATATATATATATCGACTAAAAGTAGCTACAACAGCTCAGCAGGCTAGAAACATCGATCTAAATTTCACATTCTTTTATTAAATATATTGTTGAATATTTAAAAGTAGTTAAATGCATGGTAATAAATAAATATGCGGTGATAAAAGCTAATCATTTATCAAAATATTTAAAGAATAAAATTGAGCATTTAAATAGATTGAATTTCATATCACATAATAGTTCATATTAATTTCATGTTAGTTTTTTTTTTTTTGGACCCAGATAAAATCTAAAAGGATTTGGCTCATTGTGATTATATTTTGTGCTTATATCATCATAACATATCTGTAAGAACATAGCTTGTATCCACAAGAATATGACTTTATAATCATCTGAATATGCCTAATAAACATCACAATGTTCTTTGACAAAGACAATATTATCTCAAAAGATCATGTGCGCGCCTCTTATCATAACATATATGATTTAATCACATACGTACATATTTCATCACATTATAACAGTTAAAACATAATTGAGCGTATGTCAGAATTATACAGTTTTCTATAATAGTATGCAACAAAAAAACCTTACTAAGCAGAACTATACATTTTTAGCAAATAACAAAATTACCATTGTTGCGTCCAGGAGTATTCGCGGCGGTAGAGAAATATAAGATTTAAAGTCTTAGCGTTGTACGAAAATCCGGCACGCAATCAGATAAAGAGATAGGGTCTGGCATTTATGAGACACCAAGATTTTTACGTGGAAAACCTCTGAAAAGGGGGAAAAACCACGGGGCCTAGCCCAGTTTGAATGAATCCACTAGTATTGTAGTTGATTACAAATGAGATCATTCCTTAGGGGAAGACCTTAGCTTGATGTACATCTTATAGAATACATTGCATGATGTTAATACAAAGAGTCATTATTAACGTGTTCGTTTGGTCGGAAGGGCCGTAGTCGACGGGCGACGGAGGTCAGAAGGCTTGTAGTCGGTGGGCGACGGAAGTCAGGATGATCGTAGTCAGTTAGTGACGGAGGTCGGAAGGACTATTATGTGACGACGAAGATCAGAAGGACGACGTCAGGTAGAAGTCCAACAAAGGAAAGAAATCCATCTTTGCATAGAGGTCCTGCGAAGTCCGATAATCGGTAGAAGTCTGGCGTTGGGTAGAAACTTGGCGAAGAGTGAAGGTCCAACGCCGGGTAGAAGTTCGACGTCTGTTGGTGGCAGAGGAGAACTCCGGCTTCACTTGGGCTGAGTTAATTTCAGAGTCAGGAGGGAACTTTGTTGTTAATTGGGAAGAATTTCAGCGTCACGTGGAAGTTGGGCAGAATTCTGGCGTTCTTCCGAATATCACGCAGAATCCCGGCGTGTTCGAGCGGCAGAACGAACTCCGGCGGTGATCGAGGAGGAGCTGATTCTCCTCCTTCTCTTCTTCTTCTCTTCTCTTTCTTGCTACTTGCTTGGGTCCCCCTCTTGTGAAGAATGATGGCTCTATTTATAATTTTTCTGGAGTGGCATGGCTTGTAAATAGGTGTGAGATCATGGGCGAATTGGGAGTGGTTTGAATGGACAGCCGATATGGACCCATTTGATCGTGCACCATTTGTTGGTCTTTTGAAGGCCTTAGTGATATCGAAATTTCCTGGGCTCGTTGGATTCGTCTCGTCAAGACGTTCGATTCGAGTATAAGCTCGTTAAAATCGGAGACCGTTTGGTAACACAAATTGCGGTTTGAACCTTCCAACAGCGCTTCGGGTCATTGATTTGGACTCATTTGGGCTCAGATTGGGTCGAATTTGGTGTTGTTGTGTTCGTATTTCCGAGACGCTCAGTTTGACTATAAGCTCGCTGAAATCGGAGTTCGAATGCTCTTGATTTTAATTTTTGAAGTTTCTGCTTAGATTTTGCCTCGAGATTCGTGCTTGATCAAGATAATTTTCTGAGAATACATCAACCATATACCATGCAAAATACTATTTTATGACTGTAATTGTACTAAAATATTATTTTTAGCATGAAGATAAATTTTTATTCAAGAAAATTCTCACAATTTTCAAAGTCCATGTAAAATTTTCAAAAAAATTGAAAATATTCATAATCCTAATATCTATAATATATTAAAATTTACACGATGAAAGTTTTACCAGCGTAAATTTTAATCTCGTTTTTTGTAACGGAAATAAAAATTTAATAAAAAAAAAAAAGATAAAAACTTCATATTTTAAAGATTAAGATATATATAGTGTGGCCTATCTTGATTTAGACAACTTTCTAAACTAGAGTGACTATTAAAAATGACCGAAAGCAGCCCAAAATTTATTTTCATCCTCTATTAATCCTTCTCCTCTCTCCTCTCTCCTCAAGGCTTTTTTTATTCGACTCAGAACACGCGGAACCACATGCTTAACCTAGAGGCGCCACACTAAACATCTTAATGAGATGATCCAATTGACTCAAAGAGTGATTTGATCAAAGTTCAAACAAGTCTATATAAAACACTTAAAAATTTAATTACTTTTTTTAAAAGTTATATGAGGGACCAACAATCTCCAAATCTTGATGCTTGTACTTAAGTTGAGCATCTCAACTAGACAAATTGAATGACCTTGATATCACTTAATTACGACATCACAAAATGCACTGACATGTTGAAAGAATAATCAAGAGAATTAATGCGAGACATCTGATTAAGTGTTCCAATTTTTTGTTATATTTATTGAACATGCCACTCTTAAAAAAGTATAAATAAGCCTCAACTCTATATATAAGTGCATATTGGCTTGATATTTAATTAAGCTTATAGGCTTGAATAATCCGGAGGCTTTATTGGAAAGCCACCGTGCGATTAATTTCATGGGGCCACTGTCATCAGACAACCATTGTCATTTCATTTTCAATATATGGCCACAAATTATGATCCTTTGACCATCTTTGTGAGATTACATTCATTCGATCACCATCACCCAACAATGATCATCTAACATGTAATAACCCATATTTTGACTTTGTCAATTTTTTTTAGAGTGATTATAACTCCAAATCACAACTCATATTCTCCATAGTATTTTGATCGAAATATTTTACTTACACGAATTTTTTCATAATTTTTTAGCACCTGTGAAAATCATTAAGAAATTGGTACCTATCGATTTAAGTGAGTATTTCAAGACCGTCCTGTGTCCATGTTGTAAACCGATTTTATCGTTATTTTTTAAATAACATGTTTTATTTTATGAATATTTTTTATAAATTTTTAAGTCCTAATATAATTTATTTAAATTTTCTATTAAAATAAATAAATTAAATTAATTAGATTAATAGTATATTATTATTTAATCTTAAATATCTAAATCCATTATATGAATCAATTAATTCCATTTATTTCTTTTTAAGCCAACGGTTAACAGAGAAGCCTAAAGTGAATTTAAGAGAGATTGAAAGGATATAGAAACTAAAAGCTTTGATTTAGAGGTTGTGGTACAATTTTCGTCCATCGAGGATGTTAGAAAATTTGCTCGTCTCACTATAAGGAACCTTTAGCCTATTTATAATTTCAAAGATTTTGAGTTTTTGATATTTTTATGACCAAATTTGTGTTTTCGTTACCGAAAAACGTGAATAACTTTGTTTTGACAAAACTTTCACAGCATAACTTTTTGTATATTATAGAGATCATGATTATGAGTATTTATTTGAAATTTTCACCGTGTGATTTTGAAAATAGAATGATTTTTGTGTACCTAAAACTTTATTTTATTGCGTAAAAATAGTTGTGTAATATAATAAAGTTTTAAAACATCATTTTATACAATTCTTGGTTTTTTGGTAAATTTCTAAAAATGTTCATTTTTGCCTAATAGGATTCTTTGTTTTCTACCATTATGACATTTTGGATAATTTCTAAATTAAGCTCAATTATATTTTATTTGTTACAATGCATTAAAAATAAGCATGAATATATTATTAAAATTATTGCTATAGTACTATGATAATATTATGTTTGTAAAAGACTAGTTGACTCTTTGATTGGAGACTGATCGATCTGTATAGGATGGTGGGCCGATGGGCTTTCTTTTAAATACTGTGATTTGATGTTATCATCTATTAATTCATGTGATACTGATTGGGAGTTATAAGTAGATGATTACTATGCTAAAGGGCAAATAGTAATGACTCTATTTACTGATACTTATACAATACTGAAAAACACCGTGATAATTAGAACTTCTTATTTGCTTAGTGTGACTACTAAACTGCATATTTTTGAATCATTATTCTTATTATTAATGAATGGATTTAGTATTATTACATTATTCTACTTCTCCTGCCACTAGATTGTTATTGTTATTGATATAGATACTGATATTATTTCATATTACTGATTCACTGTATAATAAGCATGTGATATATTGAATATGTAAAATACTGATTTGATACTGATATAGAATAACTGGATAATATATGTACATTCATATATGAGTTTACTACATTGATTTGATTTCAATAGTTTTTATTAATGTTTTGATTTGATACTTTATACAATTTCTATATTAATTAGTATTACGGATACAATGATTGTTTTATAGATTTGATACTCATATTGGTTTACTACTTTACAGGCTTTCGTACTGTACTATTTTACTGATTATAGATTTTATTACTACTATATGTAAATTTTAATATTTCTGCATTGATTCAATGATCATATGAATGCAACTGCTATGGTTTAAATGTTGATATGCATATTGCTCTTTTGTCGTGCTTTGATTTCAATTGTATGTTTTGGTGACTTGATGGGCTTTTTAAGCTTATTATATATGGTTAAATGATTTTAGGTCAGGGCATGTGAGCAGGAGTGTGAGGCTGATCAAAATTTTCAGGTTATGGTTCCTTTTGTTCTAGTTATTCTTTTGTACTCAAGAAATAATAGTTATGATATGATTGTATATATCATGAGTAATATATATATGATTTTTTAGATTGAATATAGATGCATATATTGTTACTTTAAATTATAGAATATATTTTGCTGCTTCTTATTAATAGATAATATTAGATAGCTCTGGTTATTATTTATTTAAAAAATAAATGAAAAATTCTTTCAAATTAAATTATGGGGCATAACATAACCACCATCACCTAATAATGATATTCCGGCAAGCATGCCTAACTACGAATCTCCAACTATAGTCGCATGATTATAATCTACCAACAGTCATCATCCATTATTAGTGGACTTCGATTCTCCCACCATCATGTAATTATGATATGCAAATCACCATTGCATAACAACCACCTCCTGACCACCATTACCCAATAATGATCATTTAATTATTGTTGCTTAATTGTTATCCTACAATCGTGATCGTTCTACTTCAATCTACTAATCATTATTGTCTGACCACAACCTCTTTGATCATAATGGCATAATTATGACCCCCATGATTACCATATCTCAATTATGATATTCTGACTACCTCACATCACTATGTTCCTCCAAATACCATCTCTCAACTATTTTCCTTCAACTGTCATTGCAAGATTACAATATTCCAGTTGATGTCACTTAATTATAGCCCTCCAACCACCGTCACCTGACTATGTCCCCTAACCACTATCACTCAACTTTGATCCTTTGACTATTATTGCCTAACTATGATTTACCAACAACAGTTGCCATACTAAGATTCTCTAAATACCATTACTTGACTACGATTCATCAACTACCATCGACCGACTTTAATCCTCCAACCACTGTTACTTGATTAAGGCTAACAGCCTAACAGGCCATCTTTTCCCAATTATGATCATATGACTATGATCACCATCCATCGACTACCATAGGTGTCAACATATGATCTGACCTAAAAATCCAACCCACAAAATTATGGGTTCGGGTCGACCCGTCAAGTGAACTAGTTGGGTTCAAGTTTATTTATTTATTTTGGACCCGATTAACATATAAGATCGGGCTCATGTTAACTTATGAAGTTGAACACAACCCATTTGACCGACCCTCACTCGATCGCATCTCACCTCGCTGCACGCGATCAACCTCTCGCCCTCGTTGCCTTGCCTGTTCACACACTCACCCTCACTCTCACTTGCCCGCTCACCCACTTGCAATCGCCTGCCGCACTCAACTAGATTAGTGGATTGAGCATGCTGGGTTCATGTCTAAATTTTTAGCCCATTTGAACAAATAGGTTGGGCCGAGTCGAACATGTTAAGGGCCGATCAATTTTGAATTTGACTAGACTCTAACTCGAAAATCTATTTTGACTTCCCTATCTACTATATTATTCTTCAATCAGCATTGAAATTAGTAAAACTTTTTTAGAAAAAATTCCGGAAACGATAGATGTAATATTATTCTTTAGATCAGCACAATTATTAATATTAAAAAAACCTAGAACTATTTGATGTAAAACTTAAAAAAAAAGTAAAATCATAAAAATATAACTTTATTTTTTAAAAAAAGCACTGCACTGTATTAGACAAGCCATCTTTTAGCTTAAATTACGGATTTCCCATTTTGCCCATTTTGCTCATCAGTTAAATAAACTGAGTCTCCGAGTCTCCTTCCAATACAAGCCAGGCTCAACTGGGACTTTCTATCTGCTGGCGCTCAAAATAGGCGGGAGTGGTCGCCACAGCATTCTGTCGAGCCTAGATGCTTTCTGTAGTTTGATTGCAGGCTCTAAAGCTCCAAGTACTTGATTTCCTTCGAATTTCTAGGGTTTTCTACTTCACTTAGTTCTCAGTCTCGTCACTCCGATCATTCTGCCATTTTAGTGATTCATCTGGAATCCGGATATGGAGAACGCCGGAGTAACCTCGGAGGCCTCCGTCCGCCGCCCGGTGAGCTTATCTTCAAATGAATTTCCTCCTATTTTCATTTCTGTCTAATTCCTAACACTCGCGTGCTGCATCTCTCGATCAGCAGAAGAAGGCTAGGGTTTTGGAACACTCGGACGGCGGGCCGTCCAAATCGAGTGGGTCGAACCCGGAGAAGAACGACCGTATCCCCGCTGATGGCGAGCAGTTGTCCGGTGATGATGGTGATGGTGACTGGCTCTTTGATGGGGCTGGAAATCGTTCGCCCAAGGCGAGGAGGAAGCGCGGTCCCTCGGCCAAGGCTGTAGGGGCCATGGAGGACTGGCGGCTTATTGGTGAGCACGGTGCCTTTCCATTTCTTTCCCAGCCAGCCCATTTTTTATCTGCATACTTTCGTTTTGAGAAACTTGACATCAGTTACACTATTAGAGAAGTTTCATGTGACGGAATTTTGCTGGATATATTTTTTTGTGATTGAGAATTGAGGTGCAAAAGACTTTTTGGAATCAGTAGAATTTGAGTTTTATAACTTTATGATGGAGTTATAACCTTGGGAGAAAGATTTATTAAAGTTTCTATGGAGAATCTGAGAGATAATGGATGGGAGGGAGGGAGGGAGGGAGGGAGGGATGAAAGGAAGGAGGGCATTTATGGATGGAGATAATGAATGGGAGGGAGAGAGTGATATTGGATGAGGAAACTTATATCTTCATATAAGCTTCAATCATTCCAATTTTTTTTTTTTTTTTATTTCTAAGGTTTTTTCTTGACTTCTATTTGTGGCCTTCCTTGATAAGAAAATGCCTAGATATTTATATGCTTTTGAAGAAGACACTCTTTTTTATGTTAATGGTTATCAAAATTCAAATTTAATATAAGAATAGTAGAATTAATGGAATATTTCTTAAATTACTTGCTTAGTTGGCTGGGCCTCTTCTAAAAAGTAGGAGGAATATTTGGAAAGCATTTTAGAAAAATTCCTGATTCTTTTGTCGCATGAATTTAACCTCTCCTCTATCCTTGATTGCCCCTTCATCTTTGAAGTTTAAATGGCTAATTGCTATTTAGTCCCTCTTCTTTTAATTATCGCAATTCTAACCATTCTAGTAGTAATTTTGCAAAATTTTTTTAGAGCTTTTTGAATCACGCTTTTTTTAAAAGCTTTTTGCTATTGCAAATTGGTTTTTTAAGAGGATGAGAGGTCCTCTTGTTTAGTCTCCTAGAATAGTTCTTCCATTTTTTCCTTTGGTTAGCTAGTGATTTATGTGAAGGTTCAAATGGATCAATCTCCCTCGTCTGATGCAGAGATGGCGCTTCTTGTACTTTTCATGACGAAGATGATACTTGAATTGTTCGGATCTTCCTGTCTAATGGCCTGCATTATATCCCATGATGGTGGAATAGTAGATTGGTTGCCTCTATACATTTACATCCGCAAACTTTTGTTGTCTTTTTAAAAATAGCGTTCTTATCCCACATATATGGATTACCTAATATCACATGGCATACATCTAATGGTGTAAGTTTGCAACTTTGTTGACTATCTCATCATTGAAATATTTAGAGAAAACAAATTTATGATTGCTTTGCCTGGATATTTGACAAACATTATTTTTCCTAAACCAATTCATAGAATATGTTTTTGTATATTAGGTACTAGCTAGTTAAGGTTCTCAACTCAGGCTTCAAAGATAATGTTCTTTTCACTATCTAGGCTCAAAATAGTGTCGATGATTGGCTGATGTTACTTGAAACTTTAAGTTTAAATGTTCCTCCCTAGCGTCCTCTCTCACATGTGCATGGAACATCAAGGCTAGTTGAAGATCTGTTTTTGTAATCTCTCCTATTTTAAGACTTCGACTGAAGTGTTAGCAAGGGTCTTTTTTTTACCCTCCCATTTTGGTTTATTCTTTTGATATAAATTCAAGCACTGGCTGTCTGTAATAATAGCATTGTGGTTTTTTGTCTTGCTCCTCTATAATTGAACTTTCAATCTCTTATTCTTCTTCATTACAGTAGCGTGATGAGCCTTTTACCCAATGGAAATAGATCTATTTTTTTTCTTAAGGGCAAGAGATTTTATGGTAGCTTCAATGAAAACAATAATTGAAATAATCTTTACTTATTTGCAGATGCTTTTATGAAGTATATGTTATGAATACTGATTTCATGACCAAAAATTTTTTTATGCAGTTGCCTGCCTTTCAAATTAACATGTATTACTCTAATGTTTTTCTTGCTAACCCACTTTACATTTTGTTTAAATTCACTTTTTATTCTGATGGGATGGATTAAGCTTTTAACAATCTTTTAAACTATAATCATTCCATGTTTTATAAGTCCTAATTTTTAGATCTTGAATTCCACCAACCCAAAGTGTTTGAGGGCAACTTTAAACGAGCAAATATAAAATTCTTTCTAATAAAATAGTCATAAATCACGAAATGAGTTTCTAGAAACTAAAAAAATTGTCAATTACCTTAGTTTGGATAGTTCAATGGACGTATGATGAATTCAAACATTTTTTTAACCTTGAAGGGTAGGTTTTCATCATTTATTATTTTTTGGATCTTCTTAACTTCTCTATTTAGTGGATTTTCCCTATAAGTTGTTGTCTCCTAGTGGATGGCTCTTCTTATGTTTGGACAATCGGTGGTGGGGCAAATGATGGTGTTGCCTCCTTAATATCAAGAGCTTCAAAGGCATCTATCATTGTGGCTGCATAATCAATGATTTGCTTGGCCATTTGTTCCTTCAAGCTGAAATGAGACTCTGCAGTTGTCTGCAATCTCTCCTCATTATTGTATATCTCATTATTGTATATCTCCAGATCCATTGTATAACCAAAGGTATCCTTCACAATTTTGATCTAACAATGAAAATTTTAATATTGGTTGAAACTTTGGCTCACAAGTTGAAATTGATCTGGAATCAAGGTGAAAATTTTTTTTTGGAATCAATAGGAATTGGCATTTTATGACATATGGTGGAGCTATAATCTTGGGAGCAAGATTTGGAGTTTCTATAGAGGAATTGAGAGATAATAGGCGGATTTCCTTTTCTAACTGAGAGAATAGAGGAGCCTTAAAATTAATGTCTTGGGATTTTAGGACATTCATTGGAAGCTTTGCCAGTGGTGAGGAGAGATGTAGAGATTAGGGTAGGAGCTTATAGAGCCGGCTTATAGAGTTTATTGCTGGTGTTTCAAAGTAATAAATTCAAGATTGCTTTTGCTTCAGGTTTCTGGCTTCTAGTCCGCATTAAATAAGAATAGTGTTTTTTGTTTAGTTTATAGAGCTGTATTATGATATACAGAAAATGGCATCCCATTCTTTCTTTGATTTGCCCTTTGTTGACCTACTTACTATATCCAATGGAAAACAACAAAAAAGGGGGCTCAAAATCATCACCTTGCCTGACGGATCCCAGAATTCTGCCGAAATCCTCCGCAAAATACGCCTGAAATCCCGTCAAAATCCCTGTGCATTCAGCGCCGTTAGCGTCTCCTCGCGGGATTCCCGTATGTAGCTCCTCGTTCGTTGTTCTCTGAGGCCTTTAAAAGCAACCAAACCCCTCTTCTTCGGCTGCTCACGATCTCTGCTTCTCACTGGCCTCTTCCATTCACTGCTCTGTCCCGAAGCATCTCCCCTCTCCGACACCTTGCTCTTCCTCCCGTCAAACCTGAACTCCACCTCTTCCTGTGCCGACCCCAAGCCGAGAGAGAGAGAGAGAGAGAGAGAGAGAGAGAGAGGGAGGGATCTTCTTCCTCATACCTTCTCCAACCGAGCTCAAGCTTCCGATCCCCTCTCCCTCTGCTTGCGTAAAAACTCCTCAAGCCGCCCTTGCCTTCTCCAAATCGAGCCCTATCTCATCATTTAAGGTTTGTTATTATTATTATTATTATTATTATTATTATT